TCAATAATTTGATGTTGTGGTTTAGAGAGTAGTTAGGGTCCGAATTCAATGGAGGTCAACGATTGTGGAGTTGGATGCTTGAAAGTTGCATGTGCCAAAGGATGTAAAAGAAGAAGATGGAAGATGAGAGAAGCCTATATGCTATATAATCTAAACAAAGAAAACCGTTTTCTCAAGTCTCTCCTCTTATATTATATACAGAATATCTCACAAATACACGATGTTATGGTTTAATGAGAATGTTATTGTCATTTGTGCTGTGCGTAGATATTATGTTATTGTTAGTTGTGCGTGGACGCTATTATCAGTTGTATATGACGTTGAGCGTTTTCAACTATTTAATGATCAATATATGAAAATAAAACTATTCTCTTTTAGTTTATATAAATGACAAAAACGATAGAGTGACTATGAATCGTACAAAACAATCACTATTTAGTAACGTTATCAAACTCGATCAATAATTGATCTCCAATTCCCGGATTTGGGACCTTAGGAGGAGGAAGCCTAGAAAACACCAAGACCAAACACAAATCCACAAACTGCGGAGCTACCCCTTCCTATTAACAACCTTGGATTTATCATGCATTTGTCATCACATAGCGTCGCAGACAACTCCCTGACAAAATGGACTCCTATCAAGTCCATGCACTTGTAGGCCTTTTGATGTTGGTGGGGATTTCCCAAACACATCACAACTAAACCCAAAAAAATCAAAATCAAAATTGGAGATGTTTATTGTGGTAGTGCGCAACACCACTCCGGGTTTTCTTAGGATTAGAAAAAGGTAAATTATATTAGGCAAAGATAGAAGAAGATAAAATGCATGTCATTGTCATAATTTCATACTTTTACTACTAGTATGTGTGTGTGTATATATATATTTGCAATTAGTTGGCCCAATTGAGTTGAGCTTAGCTGTTTAGTTATTGTAGACACATTTAATTACTAGTTTAACAAAACAAAAGTATTAGTGGAAAAAAAGAGGAAAAGAAAACATGATGTCGCACATACATGTTTCTTTCTTTTTCATAGCCTTTTACAAAGAGAAATTACAAAGTACTACGAATGAACATGTTATATATAAATATATGTTATGGCCACAAACAAAATTAGTGTCCGGGGATCTTGGTTTCTTATAATAGAGCACTATCAATGAAAATGGGAGATATTTAGTTATATACCCCTCCTTAGCACTAATGATGTAAATAAACCATACGCCATTTAATTTCTATAAACAAACCAAAAGAACAACTGGCCCTATTGAATTTAATTTTGATTATTAAATTACTTTGATGCACTATTGAGTCTTTTGGATTTTTTTTTTAATGAGGTTTTGGAGTTGGGATGGTTTTAAGAAATCAATGGCAGTTTTGTAATTTATAAGAAGTTAAAAGCCTCTTTGTTATGTTGTAAATGAGTTTTTGCTGTGTTTCTAAAGTCCATTTCATATATGATTTTTTTATAATTTGGGTCAATGTTGAGTATAATAGTGAATCTCCCAAAAAAGAGTGCCATTATATATAAGCAAAAGAAACAGACAATGCTATATATACGCAAAAGAATGTTTTAAATAAACAACTTTAATTCTTAACAATTTAATCACTCATGTTATTATTCCAAAATATATATATAAATTAATCCACTTTTCCTTTTCTTTTTAGTTTGTTTTTCTTAGGAATTTCTTAGGACTTTTTCAAAAATATGTATATTTAAGTTTGAGGCCTTCAAGTCATGGTCTATTTCTCATCTTAAGGTTACCTGCCATTGGGCCTAATATTTGGTGTACAATTTTTAAAGACAGTACCTTTTGTTGATCTTGCCCAAGCCCAACAGGCACAAAACCCAAAAGGCCTACAGCTTTCTTATTTTAAGGCTGTTGAAGCAGTAAAATATTAGGGTGGCCCAAAATTCTTGGACAGAGTCTTACATTGCATCTACAAAAATGGGCTCATTTTAGCACATAAAAAACATTCAATTTAAGCAATCAGGAAAGAGTCCCAATAGAACAACTTCAATGCTAAAGGGCAACAAATGGACTAATTTTTGGGTGTTTAGGTACACCACGCGACTGGTGTACCATCCAATAGACGGAAGACATATATAATATTTGCAATGCAGTCCGTCACATGTTATAAAAAGAAATAGAGCTTGTCTAATATAGATCCCTACATTTTCTATTTCCTAGAGATATACCCATCACTCTATAAATCTATGTGTAAAACCCAATTTCAAATTTAAATGACCAGTAGGATATAATAGGTTGTAGTATTTTTATGTTTTTACACTGTTGCCACTAAACTTCATATTTTATTTATAATTTATTTCAAGCATTTCATTAAGTGCCATAATTGTAATTAATATACTCCCTATTAATAGCATATCAATCACCCCATTTCTTTTAGTTGTCATTCCCTCTCACATCTCGCCCCCTAAAATTGCAAACAAAAAAAAAATCTGTAAATTACATATCCAATAATGTACCTATGAAAAATATAATATATATACATATACATATAAAATATATTTATATTAAAAAAAAAAAAAAAAAAAAAAAAAAAAAAAACAGTTACTTTGTAATTGCGTATATTTTCATAATTAAAAATAGGTACACAATAATTTATATAAAATATTGGTACATTATTTACCCATAGGTAAATTATTTTACAAACTACCTATAAATGTGTATAGGTACATTATTTGGAGAGGAAAAATAGGTACATTATTAGAGGAAAAAAATAGGTAAGTTATTTGGAGAGAGAAAATAGGTTCATTTAAAAAAATTACTTTTAATAAAACAAATAATAGGTACTTTATTCAGAGAAAAAAGGCTATATTATTTATAGAAAAAAATAGGTACATTATTTAGATAAATAATAGGTACTTTATTCGTAGTAGGTATATTATTCAAATGGTTGGTATATTGGATGACATATAATACCTAAATCCTAATTGTAAGTACATTAAAATTAATGTAGGTATATTGGATGTCATATAATGTAGGTATATTGGAATAGATAATTATGTACACTTTTCATACTAGATAAATTATATTTTTCATAAAACAAACAAGTAATAGGTACATTATTTTTTCAACATAATTAGTATGTACAATTTTATTCATAAACAATTATAAAGTGGATTATTAGTCATGTATAATTCATAAAAAGAAAATAACATAAACATTTTATTAAACAAACTGATTACCTAAATATGAATTTATTGTTAAATTTTTTTTAAAAATGTTTCAAAATTAATTCCTACATCCATTACAACCATTTGGAGATCTTTCCAAATTCAACATCTGTCATTATATACAATCTAATTAAAAACTGTTTCCACATTGATTCATACATTAATATACAAAATGCAATAATGGCTTAGTTGGGGGTATTTTTGGAATATGAAAAGTACAATAAATCAGATTTTATGCTTAATTAGGTAACTTGCTGAGTTTGATCCTAGTCATAGGTTTTTACTTATAAAAATTGGGTATTATTTATATGAACAAAAAGTGAAGGGTTGTAGGTACTGCAAATTGAATTTGAAGGGTGTAAGCCAAATTTACTAAAAGAAATACAATAAGTTAGACAATAATTCACATGTCCTATGTTTATTGGATGGTACACCAATCACGTGGTGTACCCGGAACAAATAAGACTTTATCCAACAAATGTAAGAGAGATGAGATAAAAATTTTTGCACACATTTTAATTGCTGACGAGATATAGTCCAATGAAAAAAGGCATTAATTTGCAAATTAATAATTTCAAGTTCGAACTCCGTCGCACCATAGTAACGTGTGTGTGAGAAATTCCCCCATATTAATTGACACTATGACTTGTATTAAAAAAAAGAGAGAATAATTTGGTTGTTCCATAACTTCCACTATAGGATTTGCATTGTCAAGCTGATGAGGTGGGTAGGTTTCATGTTGGACAAGTGTGAATGTTTTAACATGTGCCATTATATTGGCCGCATTTTTTATGTGCCTAGCTAATGAGATTTGTTTTTTTCTGGTGTATAAATTAATAAAACTTTTTTCCACCCACTTCACATTTTTCTTTTCAACCTAAAACCTTATAAATTATTTTGGAATTGAAGGCTTAAAAAAAAATATATATATATTTGGTCATTATATTTCACAGCTCCAAACCTCAAACCAACTTTTGCTTTTCCTAAATTAGTAAAAAGCTGCGAAGAAAAACAATGGAGACATATTAAGCCTTGAAACGGCAAGTTCCCCCAAAGATTCCCCAATCAAAACTCAGACTTCCAGGTGCGCCCCACACCCAATGTGCAAGGCCAAAGACCACGACAAGTTATCAAGCAATGGAGGCATTGTCCCCCGATTGGCTGTGATTTCCATATCTGTCACAGCACGTGACTGGATCACTCGAACATGATCACATTAAAATCCCAGTTATTTATTTATTTTCCATGTAAGAAAAAAGAAAAACCCAAAGCTTCCCTTTTTAATTTTTTTTAAAATAAAAAACGCTCAAACCTCACTGTCTCTTTCGTCTCTTCTAGAGAGAACACCCAAGAAGCCAACGTTGAGAATCAACAGGAGAGAGAAAGAAAGAGAGAAAAAGTGGGAAAGAGATCGGAAAATGCATAAAGTTTTTATTTTTGTTTTTGGGTTTTCTTTTGAATTTTTATTTTTCTTCTCAAAATTATTGTTAACGTAACCAAAAAGCTAGAACAAGAAACATACAAGGGAAGAGAAGCAGAGGTCGCCATGTATAAAATAAAGAAGCTTCCTTTGTCTTGTTACACTTACCAAATTATTGATTGAAACCCTAACCCTAATCTGATTTCTCTCTTTCGCTCTCTCTCTGGGTTGCTTCAGAAAAAAGAACCCTAATTTCCTAGTGGGCGAGTGAGAAAGAGCTAGAAAAACCCTAAATTGAGATGTGAATTGTGGTGTTTACTGTAAATTATCGATGAGAAGGATTGCGATTGGGGAGGAGTTAAAGATCGAAGCTGGAGAGGCGTAGATGCATGTCGCGGGAGTGAGCTTGGATCTGAATTGGTTCCTTCAATTCATATTTACTGCGTTTATAATAGCGTTTGGATTGCTACACTTTGTGAAGAACACGGCCTCGAAGTACTTTGAGGTCGACGCCAACTTCGAAGGAGGAGACCACAGTGATCGGACCCAAATGCCGGGCGCTCTAATGGAGGATCCGGTTTGTGCCGTGTGTGGCAATTCGGGTCCCAAGAAGTGCTCTCGCTGCAAAGCCGTTAGATACTGGTATTCTTAATTGGATATATTATTTTTTAAATTTCTGTGCTGTTTTGCTAAACATGGGATGTAAAAATTGCGTCTTGCTAGTTGGATTAGCTCACAGTGTGGCTTTGTTGGGTATGCTTATTTATTTTTGTGTGTTATTATGGTAATTTTAGTTGCGTAATTATTACTGTTGTGATGGATTATTGTAAAGATCTGTTTTTCAAAGAAATTTTACGTTGCTAAATGTATTTGATACAGTTGGTTATTTTCTGTTGATCATGCCCTGTCGCAGCAAATAGAGAGGGCAGAGTTATTGTTTAACTGAAGTTCTTAAGTTTCTTAGGGGTGCTTCAAGCCGATGGTTTGTTGTCTCTATTGTATGTACATGTAACTTTCCCCTTCCAAATATTGATCCCTCTTTTAATTTTGCAGCTCGCAAAAGTGCCAAGAAAAACATTGGAAATCAGGGCATAAGACAGAATGCAAAAACACGTTGAGTAATTCTAGATTTAAAACTTCAGGCGGTGGGGGTAAAACTTTCTCCGGACTCGCACTTGTTCCCATTCGTGGAATTTCTAAGCATATCAAGAAGCCGAAAGAGGTGAATTTTCAGTTATTTTTTCATGAGAATCGTGTGCACATATTTTTTGCAATTCTTATCTGACCTTAGATGCTTTAACCAACACTTAATACTTTGCAGATTCTTTTTCCCTATGATGAATTTGTTCAACTTTTCAATTGGGACAAGCTCAGATTTCCTCCTTGTGGACTCTTAAATTGCGGAAACAGGTTTTTGTTTACCATATTCACGATTCATTATAATACCAATGTATTCATTTTAAACTACAGATATTCACATGCCTGTTGCCCGCACACACTCACGCACCCACACTGGCACTCGCATCATACTTTTTCTACCTTCAAATTTGTTTATGTTGCTAATTTCCCTTTTATTTGCAGTTGCTTTGCCAACGTGGTTCTACAGTGTCTTTCGTCCACTCGACCGCTTGTTGCCTACTTGTTAGTGAAGGGCCATCGGAGAGAATGTGCAGTCCTAAAACCATTCAGTGCTATTTTTTATGTTATAGGTGCTTAAACAATTCCTCTCTCATTCAACAATTATTCCTTTCTTGCTTTTCAGGCATATGTGAAGATTGGTGCTTTCTTTGTGAATTTCAAACCCATCTTGAAAGAGCAAGCCAAAGTTCCCAGGCCTTTTCACCAACCAACATTATCTCTAGATTACCAAATATTGGTGGTAATCTTGTCCACGGGAGGCAGGAGGATGCGCATGAACTCATGAGGTTTCTTTACTTGCACTTTATCTAGTTTCTTTATCTATTCTGATAGATGTTATATTGAATACATTGTTAAAAGTCTTCCGGAATTCTTCTGGTATATAATGGTTGTTGAGTTGTATTGAAATTCACTGTATTGTTTTGTAGGTTTGCCATTGATACAATGCAGTCAGTCTGCCTTAGTGAGTTTGGTGGAGAGAAAGCTGTACATCCTAGCACTCAAGAGACAACCATTATTCAACATATATTTGGTGGCCTGCTACAATCTCAGGTTATGCATCTTATGGTCAAGTGTGAAGATGTGTTTTGGAATTTGGCATTCTTTTGGGACTTTTAAATAGTGGTTTTCGTTTAAGTTATTATTTATTTCATTGAACGATTGAGCCTGTTAATTTGTATGTATGTTTGATTAGAGAATGTTTAATGCCATTTTTTTGGTCATCTGTCAGTTCCCCTCTAATGTATTTCTTCTTTTGGAATATTTTCCAGGTGATTTGTACAAAATGCAAGAATATATCAAATCGGTATGATAATATGATGGATTTAACTGTCGAAATTCATGGGGATGCTTCATCATTGGAGGAATGTCTAGACCAATTCACCATCAAGGAGTGTCTTGATGGAGAAAATAAGTATAAATGTGATGGGTATGTCTCTGCCTTTTCTCTGTCAATTCCATTCGTTATTTATTATTTCCTTTTCCAGTCGTAGGTTGTACATTTTCTTGTCTATTGTATGGTCTCCTATGAGATATGATATATTGTTACTGTTAACAGGTGCAATGACTATGTCAAGGCTTGCAAGCGCCTTACTGTTAAGCGCGCTCCAAACATTCTCACAATTGCCTTGAAAAGATTTCAGGTATCAGCTATACTCTTCTTGTACATGTTTCTTGGTTAATTGATTGAACTCATGTTACAATTAAAGTAGATCTTTCTCAAATAACTTGGAATAAATTAAAAACCTGTATCATGAATGATTCTATCCACCATAATGAAAGCATTTTATTTACACGCTTTTAGATTTCAGTTGGAAATACAATGTGTTAATACCATTGGATTTGGGTCCAGAGCCATGAGTTCTTTTGTAGCCCCTACCAAGTCTTACTTAGTAGTACTTTAAAGAATAAATCAATAGTCAACAGCATATTTGTTTGATTCTATACTTTATAGATGAACTTGGGATTTGTAGTTGCTGGTTAGATGGTCAATTTAGGTTTATAATAACCCTTTCTGTCAGATGGGAATGTTTGTTGCACAAACTGTGTAGAAACTCCTTGTGTTATTTAAAGATTCGTATTTATGCTGGACACTTTGCCTTCCATAACTGCGAACACATCATCTTGAGTTGGTGCTCTAAAATGAACTTGGTTGATGCTTTTAGGCTTATTTATACGATTTATAAAATTTGTTGATCGAATTCTTGAGTGATTGATTGATATTCTGTTGATTCCTGAAATTGTTATGTTGACAAACATTTCAGAGTGGGCGGTTTGGGAAAATTAACAAGAGAGTAACATTTCCTGAAACTTTAGATTTGAACCCCTACATGAGTGAAACGGGAGATGGTGCAAATATCTACAAGCTTTATGCTGTTGTTGTACATGTGGATATGCTAAATGCTTCATTCTTTGGACACTACATCTGTTACACCAAGGACTTTGGTGGAAACTGGTATAGAATTGATGACTGTAAGGTGAGATCTCTCTCTCTCTCTCGTAGATATTTCCTGACCCACTCTTTTTTAATTGTTCTACTGGATACACCAATGTTCCTAATTGGATATCAGTAGCAAAGATACTTGTGATCTGTGGATACCTGTTGACCTCTGTTAATAGTTTCCATGGATACTGCAATCTGGAAATTGGTCTTGATGAAAAATTAGTCTGATGGTGGTAATTACAAAGGCTTCCTGGAGCAGGAGTTGTTGATTTGGTTTGTTTTTTTATCTACTGGCCTGATGATATGCTGGTTTTGAGGACATACTTATGGCCTTCCCTATTGCAGAAAATACACATGGGCATGCGACTTTTATTTAATATAAATAAGTTACCCAAGCCGCCACTTTCTTCTGACTTGTCTTGCTACTTCTCACAGGTTGCGACTGTAAATTTGGAAGAGGTGCTTTCCCAGGGGGCATATATGCTATTATATAGCAGGTGTGTTTATTAGTGTGTACTTTAACATGTTATTCTCGAGTTACTAAATTAAAATTCTATGTAGTATCTTTAACAAATGCAATGTGTGTGACTGTGGACCATAGTTTCAAACTGACGTACATTTTTTTTTGGGTGCGAAAAACACTAGGTTGGATGCTCTAAATGATTCTGGTTGCCTGTTGTTGTGCAGGGTTCAGCCACGAGCAACTTGTCTAACCCTTGAACCTCCAAGGAAAACAGAGGAAATGATCGATGTTGAAGTACAGCCATGCCGTAAAGAACAAGTTGAATGTTCCACTGTTGAGTCTGCAGATTCTACATGCCATTCTGGGTCTGTACCATCTGACACTAGTCTGCCTCCGCAGATTTCCAGCTGTGTAGAAGACTCAAGTGCTGTAATAATCCCTGAAGCAGTAAGAGAACATTCTGATAATGCAGATCTTAGCCTTAAATCACCATCATCTGTTCCGAAAGAGGTTTGCATATTTGAAAATAATACGCTTAGTTCCCTGTCGAGTCCATCTGTTTCAAGGGAGAGGGAGATTTCTAGTTGCGAGAAGGTCCCTGCTGGTAAATTGGATTTAGATACAGTAAGAGGAGATCCAGTCATAGCTATACCTAATGGTGAGTCATGTCGGCCTGTTTTGGATGATGTATCAGCACGCTGTGAGAAGGATCTCTCTTCTTCAGGTGGTGAATATGTAAATGGCAATTCAGAAGACATGGATATCGATAATTGCAAGTCAGGTTCATTGGTTGCAGAGGACATTGGAATTTGCAGGAGCAATGGGCCAACGTGTGCAGATGGAATCACTTCTCCAGTTGCACATTCTGGTTTCCTGAATGGGAATGGAGTCTGTAGAGTAGAAAAAGTAGACAAAGGTTAAATAATCAAGGTGGACTTCGTAACACATTATTATTTTGTCCATAATTTTTAATGATCCCCTCATCACCAAAAGGAAAAGATTGAGCTGGGAATTTTTGCCTGGGGTTTTCATTATTTACAGAAATCTCAGATTCTGCATAACACTTTAGTTGGGAGAGTCACTGGTAAGGTGACTGAATGTAATCTGGTCATAATGAGTTGGAAGAGGAATTCTTTGTATCTGTACTTTGAATTAATGTTATCTTCATTGGAAATATGAAGTGTTTCTTTTTCTTGCTTGCCCAACAGAACATGAAGCTTTTCATATGCTGTCTTCTTGTAAATTTGAATTAGCACATTGCCTTTTAAGTCAAATTTTGTTGATTAAATTTGGGTTGATCAGTGGCAGGAAACAAAGAAGTAAATTTCGTTTCTTTTCTTTAGAATATTAATTAATTAATTAAACAACTTCATCAAACTTCAATTTATAATCCATTTTGGCAGATGGGGAAAAAGAAGCCTACTTGGAGACCCGAGCTTGGTGAAGTGATGACATCGAGATCTCTGCGTTGAGGGCCGGCCTTGAAGGCCTTGGACATTGAGGAATTTGAGAGAGAGAGAGAGAGAGAGAGAGAGAGAGAGAGAGAGAACAGGAGAAAAAGCAAATATATAAACAAAAGAAAGTATAAAATAGAACGTAATCAGCGGCTTTCTCGCTTTGTCTTTTATTCCTTGTATTCTTGTTTGAAAATTGTTTGGTTCTGGGACTCGAAGAATCTGGTCTGGGCATTGACTTTGAAGTAGACAAAGTATATATCTTCACGAGTGGGAGCAGCAGACCAGCCACAGATTCCTTTACGAGGCACAAGTTTTGCTTTTTTCTTTTTTTTTTGCTTTGCAAAACTCTGCAAAGGTCAGCTGCAGCAAGAAACCCAAAACCACGCATCTGAAACATGACAAAGACAAACCCTTTAACCCTTTGGAGCCTTTGACAATGTCACATTTTTGTATTTTTCTAATCCAAAATCCATGCCATATTGTCTTTCTTTGCAACCAACCAGCCGTGCTTGGATGCTCGCTCTCTCTCTCTCTCTCTCCCTTTCTTTTGTGTTAGAAAATTGAAAAAGAAAGACGACTTATTTAACCAAACTAAATGTGTTCAAGTGCAACAGGTTTTGTTTGGGGCTTTGGTATCCGAGGCCAGAGCTGAGAGAGAGAGAGACGGAGAGAGAGCAGAGTCAACCACTCACCCTACTTACTTTCACACTCTGTATTTTGTAGCAATGCCTGTATAGAAAAGCAATATACTCTTTGTTTTATAAATATGGGATGAAAAGAAAAACCAACCCCTCGTGTGTTTGAGTGTTATTGTGTGTGTGTGTGTGTGTGTGTGTGTTTGGTATCTAACAAAGTGTCAACCCCCTTACAAAAAAAAAGCTTCCCAGGAAGCTTCACACCTTCCTTCCTCCTTGGCTCGCTTTCTCACTTTTTTTTCTTCTGTCTTTTTTTCTCAAAACCCAATTTAAAGAGAAGGCCAAAGACCCACCAACCTCACTCACTGTCTTCCATTCAGACTCACGGAGCACAAGCACTGGAGAAGAAGCAGGTACATTATCTTTCTCTGTTCATCTTCTCCTTTTGTCTTCTTCTTGTTCATTTGGTGTTTGTCTTGTTTCACTCAATTTTCTTGAATAATTGTGTTTTAGTCTGTGGAACAATTTTGTTTCCGTTTACTCTAACCCTTGTTCTGTGTCGAGATCTGTTACTTACTTGTGGACATACACACCAACTCTCTCTCCAATTTCATCTTCTGGCTCTGAAAATTTTAACTTCACTAGCTGTTCCTTTAACTTTAGGTCATCCTCATTGGTCTGATTTCTGTCTTAACAAGTTTTACATTCCTCAATTCTGGTATTTTTGACTACCCAGATATGCATTTTCTCATGGGTGTTTTCAATCCCTATTTGCTTCAGCAATTTCAATTCATCCCCATTTCTTATTGCTTGCTTCTCACTGTTTTTGACTACCCTCTCCGCAGATTGATTTTTCTTTAAAGTTGGAATCTTTATTTACTAGATTACGTTGCTTTTCAGCGTCCTCCTTTGCCCTACAAATGGTTTTATCAATAATCTAAATAGCAGATAGGAAATAGGAACGCAAGTATAGGGGGTGCTAGATTCCCATTTCATATTACATTCTGTATGCACTTGATATGAGCCCATTACTTTTGTTTCTCTGGTTCTATAGGATGAGCACAGATATAAATTTCTCAAGTAACACAATCATCCCTTATCTTTTGCAGTTGTGTTCTTCTCCCTAATTTCTAGACGATGGAGGACCAAAATTGCCCGGCTTCTGTGATGACTCGGAAGAGAAAATCCCAAGAAGAAGATAATTGCATTTCAAGCACCTTTTATATGGATGAGCTTAATGAAGACCTCCTGGAAAGGGTCCTCTCAAGGCTACCAACCTCTGCATTCTTCCGCCTTACTTCGGTGTGCAAAAGATGGAAATCGGTTGCATCTTCTCCTAGTTTCAAGCTTGCCTGCTCTCAGATTGCTTCACGGGATCCATGGTTTTTCATGGTCGATCCCCTTCTCAATCGATCAATAGTCTTTGACTCCACTGAAAGAAGCTGGAAAAAACTTAATCATCCACCTCTCCTCCAGAAAAACTCCAACTGCAATTCCATGCCTGTTTCAGCCTCTGGTGGCTTGATCTGTTTCCGAAATTCATATGGCAACTTCATTGTGTGCAACCCCGTGACAGGGTCTTGCAACGAACACCCTCCGCTGGATCCATCCCTACAAAATCTCACCTTCCATGCCATTGTGATGCATTCATGTCCCAAGTATGAGCAGTCCTCTTACAAGCTTGTTGTTGTCTTTGGTGAACTTCCAAAGCTGTCATTCAGAGCGTATAACTCAGACACCGGTTCCTGGGAAGAAGAGACCGCCTTGTGTAAGAAGTTTGATGATGATTCTGCAGAATCTGAATCAAGTGAGGACAATGCTGCTGTTTACTTCCTTAGCAAGGCTGGGAATGTAGTGGCAACCAACATGCAACGAAGCCCATCTAAGCAATACTCATCAGTGATCACTACTAGTAAAGATGGCGAGGAGATAGTCCATTTCCTAAGCTCATCAGGGTCAGTTGTGGCTTGCAATCTGGCCACCAAGTGCTTCTCTGAGTATCCCAGGCTTTTGCCCGTCTTCTTCGAGTACTCCATTGATTTAGTGGAGTGTGGAGGCAGGATGTTAGTGATTCTGCTGTCAGAATTCTTCGAAAGCGCTAGCCTCAGGGTGTGGTGTTACGACGAGGATGTTCGATCTTGGCACCAAATTGCAGCAATGCCTCCAGCAATGTCCCATGAGTGGTATGGCAAGAATGTGGATATAAACTGTGTTGGGGCTGGTGACCAGATACTGATCTGCTTAAGCTCTGCTGAGATTTCTAGCTGTGTTCTGTGTGACTTGGCTGCCAATGAATGGGTTGAATTGCCCAAATGTTTTATGGATGGTGAAGCCATAAAGTTCATGTCTGCCTTCTCATTTGAGCCAAGGATTGAGGCTTCTGTATGATTTCGACTTCATGCCTGCCTTTGGATTTTTTCTTTTCTTTTTATTTTCTTCTTATTCTTTTAGCATTTGTCTTACATTCCATTGTTCTGTATGCGTTGTGTAGGCAATCTAGCCAAATGGAAATTGGCATGATTTTATTATACAATGAAAAGTGTTTTAGATTGATGGCTACTTGTAGCACACTTGAATAGAAGACTTACATTTATGGGCTTTGTATCTCTTCATGTTCTAGTGAATTTTCTCTCTTCTTCATAAACATAAACAAACACTCTCTTGTGCGATTGAGGTATGTTACGGTTAGTCACCTGCACGATTTTTTTTACCATAAATCAGATCCGAATCCCACATTTAATCAACGGACAGAAATCACCAACATTTACGTGACTGAACTTAGCAAAATCCTACATAATTAATTACACGTTAACGGGGCCAAAACCTTATCAGCTTGTATTACAACAGGTAAACAAAACGACGCTAAAAATACTGTCGTTAACAAATAAAACACAGAGCGAATATAATACAGTGACGTGGAGAGAGATAATTGGAGACAGGTAGAGACAATCATGGGACCGCGCGCAGACGATTCTTCTCGCGCCTTCGTTCAACGGTGACCTCCTCGCCAAGCCAAACCAGAGAAATAAAAGAGGAGGAAGGCGCAGAAGAGAGATCCGATTCAATTAAATCGAAGACGAAAATGGAGTTTAAATCTAAAGACGAAAAGCGATTGGAGCAGCGATTGGAGGAGCTTCACAAAGACGTATCGAAGAAGCAGAAGTTCGAAGACGCCGTCGCCTCCCTCAATTCGCTGCTTCGGGACCACTACGCCTCCGCTTCCCCTTCCCTTCGGAAATTGTATTACGGCGTCGTTTGCCGAGTCGCCACTGTCTTGAAGACCCGGTACACCTCGCCGGGTTTCTGGGCCGCCGGACTCACCCTATTCCGGCTCGCCCAATCCCTCGTTTCCGACCCGGCCGAGAAGGCCCACTTGCTCTCCTGCATCTCCGAGGCCCAGCAGGTCGTTCATCAGGAAAACGACCCTCCACAGCCCTCGTCTTCTCCAAATCAAGGTCTTAGAGATCTTTTGCAGAAACCCTTTTTCATTTTATTTTGTTTGATTCGATTTTGATTTTTGATTTTGTTATTTAGGGTATTTGTTTGAGGGGCATCTGACGGTGGATCGGGAGCCGCCACAGCCGCAGTGGCTGGTGCAGTCGAATCTCATGACTGCCGCCTTGGCGGCGGGGTCGTCTTCCGTGCCGGGTCTGCCGGAATCCGGAAACGACGACAGCAACAACTCGGAAAGCGCGGTGAATTTGCTTCAGTCCCTCATCGACAACCTCGACAGCGTTTTTCCGCCGGGGATAATGGATGATGTGAGGGGGGCCCCGAGGGTCCCCCCTGCGAGCAAACGGGTGGTGGCGAATCTTCCGGTGATTACGATCACAGAGGAGGTGCTGAAGAAGCTCGGAGAGGAGGCCGAGTGCGCCATTTGTAAAGAGAACTTGGTTGTGAATGACAAGATGCAGGAGTTGCCTTGCAAGCATACATTTCACCCTCCATGCCTAAAGCCATGGCTGGTAAATTTCGAAATTTTTGTTCTTTAAACATGTCTCATTTGCTTGCATTGAATTCCAAATTTGAAGTAACCATCCGACGTGGTTGTTGGGTTGTTTTTGTTGCGGCAGGACGAGCACAATTCGTGTCCGATATGCCGGCATGAGTTGCAGACTGATGATCATGCGTATGAAAGCTGGAAGGAGAGGGAGAGGGAGGCTGAAGAAGACAGAAAGGGGGCTGCAAATGCCGTTCGAGGTGGTGAATACATGTATGTTTAGATGATGGTGATGATGATATTTGCTTCAACAATTTGTCAATTTGCAGCTCTACTCGAAGCTAGAAATTTTTATTCATCCCATCACATTAAGCATGGTGGTGGTTGTAATTTCAGACAAATAATAGAGCAAATGTGGTTGCTTTTCTTGTATAATCAGGCACGTTTTCATTTTAGAAATATTGAAACTTTTATATAATGTGGCACATTTTTATCATCTGTGATGGAAAATGTTTGAGGTTCTTCGCTGAGCTTTTATTATTTCTTCAGGTTCAGGGTTTGTTTTGGTTTTAGATGGGTAGCTGAACCTTTTCAATGCCATAGAAATTTTGAGTTATTCAGATCGATCATGTCTTGCAGCATCGCAGATTGAAGAGGTGCTGTGGAGCTGTAGATAAAATAGATTGGGCTCTACATTCATGGGCTAAGAATAAAATTCAAAACTCTAAAATTTCCCGCGGTTCAGATGTTAAATCCAGACTTTTTAATCGACTCTTTCTTTTGGGCTTCAAGTTGAAGTTAGAAAATGGGCCTAACTAATACCACGAGCACAAATAACGTAAAACATTGTGGCCGTTTAAAAAAATGCCATTGGAGGTAGAGGCCAAATCTTTTTGTGAAATCGTGGCGCAAGCGTTGAACAGAAAATACAGATTGCACCACTCATCATGTATGTAAACTATGTATTAGTACTAGCAGCAAAGCAAAAACCCATTTGCATTTGACATGGAAATGGCCACTTGTTTCTCTTCCACTTCCTCATCGTCCTCGTCCGGCCTTGCCACCAAATTGGGAAGCGGATGTGATCATATCCCTCATCATGCCCAAACCCAAATCAACGGCTATGGTTCCTTCTTGGGGTGCCGTCGGAGGAGCAGAGTAAGAGCAGTAGTGGTCGCAGGTGGCTCAGCCTCATCTTCTACCAAGAAGACTGCTGTCAATGGCTATGTGGGTCCAGGCAGCTCCGCTGACAGATTAATCTCCACTTGGAGCGATTCTTGTTTGGTGGTACCTCCACCCACTGGCAAGAAGCCTCGCGCCATCATCAAATTCTTGGGTGGTGCCTTCATTGGAGCTGTTCCTGAACTTACTTACAGGTCCCAATTTTTGTTTTGTATTTGTATATTTATTTTTTATTGGGTCCCTGAAATTCACGTGAATTGGTTGTTGCAGCTACTTAACTGAGCTATTGGCAAAAGATGGGTTTCTTGTTATATCAGTGCCATACAATGTGACCTTTGATCATGTCCAAGCTGCTGCACAAGTGTATGAGAGGTTCAATGCCTGCTTGGACACCATCTTAGCTTCTGGATTGCCCAATGCCAATCTATCACCTGCCCAACTTGCTCAACTTCCTGTGTTTTCTGTTGGCCATAGGTAATTGAGTTGAGTGGCTTCAAAGTTCATTACCATGGCAGCATTGGACTGATTTACATATCTGCGTGTTTTTAATAATTTGTTTGTAGTAATGGCGCGCTTCTTCAAGTACTTGCAGGGAGCTATTTCTCTGATAAAGTCCCAAAGGTTTGTTCTGTTTTACAAGCCCTTTTGATAAGTAGATTGTGTAGTGTTGTTTCATATTAAGTAATCTGATAAATTCGCTTAGTTTGACAAGCAATATTGTCTCCCTCTGATAAAAGGCCAATGCCATAATCGCATACAACAATAGACCAGCGACAGAGGCTGTGCCTTACTTTGAGCAGGTAATTGATATTTATCCTCTGCTTCATATCATGTATTAGAATTTGGGTTATAGTGTTCTAAAGTTTATATTACTATTCTGCAGCTAGGTCCTTTAGTTAATCAGATGGTGCCTATTGTAGAAGCATCTCCGGTTTCATCAATGGCTAGGACTGCCTCAGGTAGCTTCCTGACCTGCTTGGACCTTATTTAGTATTAGATTTCCGTTTTTCTTCCCTCTAGTTTTTCTGTAAGGATTGTATATTGGCTTACTTATTATGCTTTCCCTTCCCCTCTGTGGCTTTCTTAGGTGTGATATGTTCTTAGAGAATTTAACTTGCTGCCATTTGTTATCCTTGTATTCTATTTGGTTGCATTGAAGATGTGCCAAATGAAAAGAATTTTAGGTACCTACCTTATTCATCCACTTTCATTGCATGTCAGAGCCAAATATAGTGTACTTTTATGTTTATAATGTATTGGTTCATGAGAGTAAGTACAGAATCCTAGTTATTCTACGATGGTATACCCTGTGGTAAGCCATAGATCATCATGTTTACCTAACTTCCTCCATAGTTACATCCATTGAAGATTGAACTCCCATAAACTGAGTTACTGAATTGAGTGGTATACCATGTCGTGCGCAGCATGCTCACACTTTCTGATACTCCCGCTTTTCACCACTTCCTGTATGTAGGAGATGCATGGAAGGCACTGGTTGATGCAGCTGGAGCAATGCTACCGGACAATCAGGAAACTCTAAGTTCGCTGACTAAATTTGTTGATCAGCTACCTTCAGTGCTAAATGAGGTATCTTGTTGGCTTGGCAGAAGTCATGCCCTTATGCTTTCAGTTCTTAATATTGGAGAGTAATTCTGGGGAGTTATTCTAAACAAATTCATAATCTTTCTGGCAGGTAACGCAAGGGATATCGGAATTTAAGCCAACACCCTCTGAAAATCGTGTTTTCTTTAAAAGCTCGTACAATGTCAAACACACACTACTGGTATGCGTGGTGTCCCGTTATTTTGAATAATCATGAAATGGGTGACAATGGTTTTATTCTCTGGCTTAAATATTGTTTGCATTTCAGGTGAAGTTCAATTTCGATGCAATTGATGAGACAGATACTCTTGAAGAGACATTGAAGCCTCGTGTGGAATCTATTGGCGGGACACTAGAAAAGGTCGAAATAAGTGGTAACCATATCACACCATGCATACAGGTGAACTGAACTCCAAACAATTTTGAGTTCTGCATATCCTCTGTGCTCATTCGTCTGATTTAGAAGCTCTTTTATAATTATTATCTCAATAGCCTCATCTTCTCTTTTATTCGGCTTGATCAGGAGCCAAAGTGGCAAGTAGGGAACGTGTACACGCCAGCTGATGCTATTGCTCAGAGTCTCAAGACTCTTTCTCTAAATGACGTTAGAGTCCTATCAAGAACTATAAGCGACTGGTTCAGAGGCTTTGAAGATTGAGGTGCCATAGTTTCAATCAAATGGTATGTTGGACTTGTGTCTTTGCCCAATAGCTTATTTGTAAAGTTCATGTTACTTGGAAATTCCTGAATTGGGCCGCCAAGCCAAGAAGCATCTCATCTTTATTTGGTGTTGCCCTGTTAGGAGAAATCCAACTTGATTGTTTGTGTTGTGTCGGGCAACTGCTGTTTGTTTTTAGATTTTATACTGTTTGAGAGTGATTATGGAAAGGTCAATAATCACTTCCATGGAGAAGCATGTTGTTTCTTCCCATAAGTGATTCTCGCCCTCCCATAATCACTCCCAAACAAGCCCTAATATTATTATAAATGTTATAAAAATAATCATAGTATGAAAAGTACCACTGAATATTGGGAGTGGAATTGTATTTGCTCTTATGGTTTTTACACTGATAGAATTTCCTCTCAGATAGAATTCTCTAACTCTCAGATTTCTCACTCTCTTTTCTTCTCTCAATTGAGTGTGTTATCACTTCTCGTTTCTTCTCTCTTCCTAGCAATGAAGAGATGAAGCCTTTAAATAGGCTGAAGTGCTTGTGATGTGCGGTTGGTTACAAGGGAAGGTGGCAGACAAATTCCTTCATTCTTTTCTTCTTTTCTTTATGTGGGATCAACCACGTTCTTTACAACACTCCTCATTGGAGACCACACATCCTTTGATTGGTTGCCTCCAGAGACGGACCCATGAATCTTATCTCAAAGGGTCATATTGTAAAAGTTCAATTTTTTGGAGGAGCTGGAGCTGGGGCTTAAAGGTTTGGTGGGGGAGAGGGTTAAAGGTTTTGGGGTGGGGGGTGGAGATTGGGGATTTAGGTTTGAAGGTTTAGGAATAGGGGTTTTGGATTGGAGATGTTGAAGTCAAGAGAGTTATCTTTGAATCTGTTCTAATTTAAAAAAAAAATTCACTAGGCCGTTTTGGCCAGCATGTTTAAAAAATAAAAATAAACGCTAGGCCAAAACGATGGCCGCTTTGGCCAACATGTTTAAATAAAAAAAAAAAAAAAAAAAAAACAGACAACCATCTCCTGCATCCATTCATGGGGTCACACAGCCATTAAAGGGGACCTTGTAGCTTACTTTCATGGAGTCCATAGGGTCGTTTGACCTTATTGACACCACTGTGGGTCCGTCCCTAGTTGCCTCATTAAAAACTTGCTTGGAAAAACTCATTGGGAAGAAAACTTAACCTAAGGGAAAATAGTACAACTTCATTTGGGATACAAGGACAATGTTAAATGCGCTCATGTTGCCTTTTTAAAACCTTGCTAGGAAAAAACAAGTGGGAAAAATCCTAGTCGAAAGAAAGACAGTGCAATGCGCATATGTCCTGTGTTAAAGGACTCTTGAATGCTCCCTCTAGTTTTGCACGCTTCAATTCAATTGCTTGCATAGTTGACGTAATCTGATACCATGCACTAGCTTTTGGAATGTACAAGTATTTTCCAATAGCCTTGGAAAAACCATTGTGGATGGAACTGATGTATCCTCAGAAGAAAGCGCAAAGGCCATGATTTTTCTTCGCTGTCACATTCATGAAGCACTAAAAAGCGAATACGTGATGGTTGATGACCCACTGGTTTTGTGGAAAGCTTTATGTGAAAGGTACAATCACCAAAAGACGGTGATCCTCCTGAGAGCTAGATATGAGTGGACACACTTGAGTTTCCAAGATTTCAAGTCAGTGTCTGAGTACAACTCGGCAATGCATAGAATCACATTCCTAATGAAGTTATGTGGTGAAAATATCTATGAGGAGGATATGATTGAAAAAACTCTCAGTACCTTTCATGCCTCAATTGTGCTCCTGCAGCAGCAATATAGGCATAGTGGTTTTACGAAGTACTCAGAATTGGTATCCTACCTTTTATTGGCCGAGCAGAACAATGAGCTTTTATTGAAAAATCATCAATCTCACCCAATAGGCTCAGCACCATTCCCTGAAGTGAATGTTGCATCTCAAGAAGTGAATGCCACCTCCTCTCATGGCAGTACCCACAGACGTGGGTGAGGAGGCAGACGTGGCTGCTGGCAAGGGAATAAAAAAGGTCGTGGTGCCCATTCGTATGGCTTGGGTCCAAGGAGCAATCCATCCAAGGAGCAATTCCAAAAGCTGGTGCATCATATCAAATTACGTCAACTCTGCAAGCAATCAAATTGAAGCGTGCAAAATCAAGGGGAGCATTCAAGAGTCCATGCGCGTTGTACTCTCTGTCCTTCGACTATGATTTTTCCCATTGGGTTTTCCTAGCAAGGTTTTAATGAGGCAATATGAGCACATTTAACATTGTTCTTATATTCCAAATGAAGTTGTACTATTTTCCCTTCGGTTATGTTTTTTTTCTCACTGGGTTTTTCCAAGCAAGGTTTTAATGAGGCAACCAATCAAAGGACATGTGGTCTCCAATGTGGAGTGTTATAAAGAACGTGGTGGAGCTCACATGAAGAAAAGAAGAAATGAATGAAAGATTTTGTCTTCCACCTTTCCTTGTAACCAACCGCACATCAAGAGTGCTTCAGCCTATTTAGAGGCTTCATCTCTTCATTGCTAGGAAGAGAGAAGTGACAAAACACTCAATTGAGAGAAGAAAAGAGAGTGAGAAATATGAGAGAAAATTCTATCAATGCAAAAACCACAATAGCAAATACAATTCCATCCCAATATTCAATGGTACTTTTCATACTCTGATTATTTTTGTAACATTTGCGAGATTAATTTGACATATTTACGAGTTTCCAACTTGAGGGTAGCCCTCCATTGTTTGGTTTTAATTATGCATGCACCTTCTGATACATTTGCATGTATGTCACCAACAACTCTTCTCATGTGCCCGCATTTAATTGACTCAAAAAAGAAGAAGGAAAAGATGTAGCTAGCTAGGTCATAATAATTCATCTCAATCTTGTTAAAAGAAATAAAGAAAACGGCAAATTATTTTTGTTTGTAACTTTTCATCAAGATTTAGATTTAGATGATGATAACGATGAATGATCGATGGTGATGGATAAGTAGATAAATATGAATGTGAATGGGAAGTTATGCTTCATCTGTTGTTTTGTTGTGGACCTCTCGTAATCATAATCACATATGGCTCTCCTTCTCTCCTTTCCTTGGTTTTTATTGGTTACAACTTGTGTCATTTGAAACCATGACCTACCAAAGTTAGCTGCTTCTTTGAATTTAGATGCTTTTTTTTCCTGATTTTCTGTATAGAAACACAGTCTTGATTGATATATATATATATATATATATATATATCTCTCTCTTTACCCTTTGGGTTTTGGGGCCTTGTTTCTTTTGGCTCAGTGACTCAGTCGTGTTGGTGGCAGATTAAAAATGTTATGGTCCACCGCCACCCTCACTTATAGCAGAAAGTGACCAAACTCTGTGTGTAATGAAGAGCTCTAGCCCTAGCTCAACTAGCTGCAGCCTCTCTCTCTCTCTCTCTGAGGTCCCTGCCTGCCTAAGCCCAATAAATGACAACTTTCAATTTTATTACCACATTCAATACCAATTGCAATTGGGACTATTTTAAGCCTTCTTTTTTATTTTGACAAAACGATATTCTAACTACGGGAAAGATAATCGAACTCGAATCCGAAAGCCACCTGATTTACATCCGCTTTTAGGCTTCTATTTTGGTTTGTGATAAAAGCATAAACAATATCAACCAATCACTAAAATAACTCGTGAGGAACACAAATTGCATGATTTGGTTTTTGATCCACATATATTACAAAAATGTTGAATAAATGGAGAATGTGTTGGCCGTCGACAATCGTCCTAAAGTTTCAATGGATTCTTTCTTGCCTGGTTTCGTTAAATTTCCAAATTGACAATGCAACATTACCCATTAATTTATGATTTACAATAATAGCTGAATTTCGTTCACATATTTTCTTTTTATTTTATTAAGAGTAAAAATGAATCTTCTTCGTTTATTCCACAAAATAAAAAATCTATGATGGTAAAATGGGTTATTTATGGAAGCCGCAGGCTTTTTGGGCCAGGAGCAGTTGCTGCCTATTTCTGGTTCCTTTCGTGGCTTCCCACGTGGCAACCTTGCTCTGATTGGAGCCTTGGACCTCAGCCCACGTGGCATCCTCACCCGTAGTTGAAAATAGCCGTTTGATTACGACCCGTCACATCATGTCCGTCAGTCTCCACAGGCGGTCCCGCCGCTCTTTTAAGCTAGGAATTTTTTTCCAAAATGAACAGCACCACCATCCTTTCTTCGTGGAAAAGAAATAAAATATAGTAAAACAGGTTTTCCAATTCCTTCCTTTTTTTTTTAAGTTTTATCTTTATTTTTTAGTTACACTTTTTTATATAAGAACAAATTGTGGTTGTTAGAGCATTGCTACGCATGTCTGTCTAACATTAAGCATTTGTATATTCACGTATCGTCTCATTACACGCGTTTGAATAACTGGTCGTAACTCATATTAAGAAATTTGGTTTCACCACTATAGAATAGATGATTGCAATTAACATTTTTTGCTGCCTTAATTATGTCTAGCTAGTTTACAAGGTACAAGGTACAGGTACAAATTTTCTTTTAGGATAATATTTTTGTGGGTTCATTTCTAAAAAGAGTGTTGTGAATTGTGCAAAATATTATGGAAAACAAATTTGCAACTATTGGTTAGAAGGCAGTTGTAGTAGGTTCCTTATTTACTACTACTGGACACTAGGCAGTACGTGCATTGATTAGTCTAAGTCCTGCGTGGGGTCTGCCTAATTCAGATTTGGAAGCAATTGTTTGTTTTATATATAAACATATTTATATACTCATGAATTTTTTGTGTTAATACAGGATAATGAGAGCAGAGAGAAAAGGGCACGACCAGCGCAGGGCCCGCAAGCAAAGGCCTCTTCTGCAGTGGCTAAGAAGACGGACAACAGTGACATGAATGGATTGTGCGAGTGCAAGTTTCTTTGGTGTAAAAACTGAAAACTTGGGAGCTCATGTTACTATTGAGGCTCTACCTGCAGAGAAAGTTTTAATTTTTATTGTTCTCACAGTGGTGTGAAATGTGAATGGAATCCACAGAGAGAGAGAGCGAGAGAGAGAGAGAGAGAGAGAGAGAGAGGGATGAGATTTGAGGCGGTTGGGTTGGGATGGGATTGGTGGGTGAATGCGATTCGTCAAAAGCCATCTGTTGGTTATTTTATCTTGAAGATCAAGACACAGCTGCACCTGCTGCTGCTAAGCAAAGGGATTGGTGGAAGGTGGCTGCTTATTTTTGGTTTTATCAGAGAAAAAAACTCATCAGTTAAAGCCCACATGCATCCATCCATCCATCCATTCAACTTTGATGTTATCCACAGACACCGCAGAAAAAAGAGGCCTGTTTTCTCTCTCTCTCTCTCTCTCCCTCTTTCATACGTTCTACTTATATATATGTTATGCATTTATCCATTATTTTATTCTTCATTTTTTTAATCCCATTCATGTCCTGTACACTTGTAAATCATCTGGTATTGTCCTTCTAAGTTACACAGAATTTCATGTAAATTTTTCCTTCTAAATGTTTCTGCTTGGTTGAGAATTTGCTGGTATATCTGTCTGCTTATTGCTCCAAGATTGAGTTGGTTTTGTATGTGTAGCTTCTATTGATTTTCTCTGGTGGGCTATTTGTTCAAGTTAGAGGCTTTACTTATTCAACATTAGCCACTGAGTTAAAGATTTGCAACTTGTTTGGGAAAATGGTAAACTCATTCATATCTCCTATTGAAATGATTATTTTATTCTGTGACGTGAGTGCTTGCGTAGCTGTTTATATGTTTTCCTCCCATCCATTCTGCCCTATGTTTGTTTGGATTTTTTTTCTTTTCTAAATTCTTTTATGGCAACAGACTTGGCTATGTTCCAATCATGAAATAAAACAAAATTCTCTTGTAAAAAATAAAAAGGTTCAGTTGTTGTAACACTGTCTTTGGCATATTAAAGACTTCAACTTTTATTTAGCTAATATATTAGAGAGTTATTGGTTTTCAGTCTTGAAAATTTAGATGAAACTTGCTGCCACACTACCTGTTTACAATGTTGCTCTGCATATAGTCTAAGCAGACATTTCTGACAGAGTCAAATAATGCATGGAACTATTTGAACAGCTATGATGGTGTTTTCCCTTTCTTTGGGGATTGATTCAACCATTATATAACTTCTAGTGCTAAATTTTTTTGCCCCCAATCTGCACCACGGTATTTAGATTAGAACAGACATTGTCTGCATGAATTTCTGTTTTGGGTCAGTTTATTTATCCTAAGATCCATTCTTGATTTGTTTATGCATACACAAGCAAGTTATTATCTTCTCTAGACATCATTTTCACTGTCATTGCTTCCTGTAAACTCTGCTATGAGCCATGCCTCTGTCACCACGAATTAGAGTAAAGAATGGTTAGTGAAAAAGTAGATTAGAAAAGGCAGTAACAAAGGGAGAGGGAAACAAGAAAAGAAAAGAAAAAACTAATAATTTGAGGGAAAGGGCTTGAGGGAGAGAGAAGGTGGACGGTATGGAGCATTTCTGTCTTTAACATGCTGTGGAATGCCTTTGCAAAAAGCCAAAAGGTCCAAGTTCTTTGTTTCATCAACAGAATCAAATCCTTTTGAACAACTTGTTTAAACAGAAAATTTGGATGGTTTCCTTTTCTCACTAAAACTAGAATTTATAATAGAAGGTCACAGCAGTAATGGGGATTCTTCTGTCAGTCCATTGTAGGCTTTTGCTGACGTTTTTAGAGCCTGGTCCCGTTTTACTTACGGACAACATACTAGAACACCATATTCAATTTTTTTATGCCTAAAATGTCCTCTCTGTCTTGAGTAATTACTTACCAGTAGATCAGAAAATTGAAACCCCGAAGATCATCCAGTATTTGAAGGAAAATTACTGCTATCAATTGAATTTCTCTGTGTGTGTGTGTGTTTTTTTTTCATTTTCTTGTTGCTGGTGTATGATATAAGCTAGGCATATACAAGTACTTATTTCCTGCTAGGCATATTTATTGGCACACGTTATACAACAATTGTTTAAGAGGTGACTATGAGCTGTGGCTTACACATATATTGGGTGAATTTATGTCCTGGTGTTGCATGCATGCCAACTCCATCTGTTATCGTTTACATGGACAATCTTCCAAAATATCTAAGAATCAATTTGAGAAAGTAAATATTTTCAGCGAGCAGGCTATGTTGAATAATATCCTAGTTGTACACGGCAAATATCATTGTACAAAAGATATGGTTGAAGTTGTATGGCATTAGTTTTCACACTAGAATTTGTTCTGTTAGGCTTTATCCATTTACCATGAGTTGGTTGACTCTATTTTAGTACCGCATTAAATGAGAGCACGCATGCTTAATATTTTCCTTTCTCATTTCTTTGTGATGATTTGAATGTAGGATATAATCTTAATTCTATAGATTTCATGTCACTTGAGTTAAAATTCACGAACTACTTAATTTGCCACCGTGTTATGTCACCTAAGGCAAGACTTATGCCCTACTTACCAACTGAATTCGCCCTATATAAAGTCAATTGGTGAAGTACACAAACCTTATAGAACTTGATTGTTTTTCTTTCGTTTTTCTTTACGACGATTCAACTACAAGATATTTATCGTACTTCTATTATTCTCATGTCACTTGAGCTAAAATTCATGAGCTACTTAGTTTGTCACCGTTACGTCACTTAAGACTTCTAGCCTACTTACGAGCAGAATTTTCATTATATAAAGTCATTTTTTGAAGTAGACAAGCCTTATTAAGATTAGAACCAGAGTGTTTTCCTATTTTTAGTTCAGGCAGGGGGAAGAGAAAGCTTTGTTTTTTTTTTTCTGATGATCTGCAGGCAATAGGAAGTTTTGTTCATCAGAAAGAGGCTAACATGTCTCTTCAGTGCTAATTACAGTTGAAAAAAAGAAAGAAAACTTTTATTAAGGTCAACCTTCCCTAACTGCCCATTTAAAAGCTTGTAAAATGTACAAACTGAGGTTTTGGTTTTTCTTTAAATGAAGTTTGACAGAAGAAAAAACAAAAAAAAAAAAAAAAAAAAAAACAAACAAACTAGACTGTCCCCAGCTATTTATAACATCCAAGAGGCCCTCCGGAGATCAACCTGTGCTTATCTGCAGTGTACTTTGTTCTTCAGAATACAGGAAAAACCCATGATTCTCCCAACCCACCCACCTCTTTCTACATTCCAGTTACACCAAAACTGAGAGAGAGAAAGAGAGATGAGGAAGGGTCAATCCTCAAAGCAAGAGACCAAAGACTTAATGGAATTAGGTAAACTCAGTAAGCTCAAAGAGGAGCCTCATCATCTCTCTGGTGCTTACATCCGTAGCCTAGTGAAACAGCTCACCTCTTCAAGAACCAAAGACCCCATGAACCCCAATAAGGACCTAGACTGTGATGCTTTTCCCAACCAAAACATGGCCAAATTTGGTGAAGGTTTTAGTGAAACCCAACAACATACACAGCAACCCCACCAGCCCCAACAACACAAAAAACAAGTGAGGCGGAGGCTTCACACCAGCAGGCCTTACCAAGAGAGGCTTCTAAATATGGCTGAGGCTAGGAGAGAGATTGTTACTGCCCTCAAGTTTCATAGGGCAGCTATGAAACAAGCCAGTGAACAACAGCAACAACAACATCAGGACCAAGAGCAACAGCCACAATCACAACAATTGCAGCCTCAGCCCCACCCTTGTTTTGAACAAGAAGGGAGAACTAAATCTAGGAGAAATCCTAGAATTTACCCATCAAGCACAGCCAATTATCCTGAAACTCTGCCCTTCCCATCTGATTTTTCTCATCATCAATATCCCTCTGTTCCAAATCCATATTCCTGGACTGCTTCCACAATTGCTCTTCCACCTGAAAATTTTGATTTCACACTTCCAAACCAGACTCTTGGCCTGAACCTCAATTTTCAAGATTTCAACAATATAAACACTACCCTTTACCACAGCAGCAACAGCCCACCATTTTACTCAACCTCAGCCTCAGCCTCAGCCTCAGCCTCATCTCCATCATCATCTTCTTCCCCAGGTCTCTCTGTTGCTACTGATCAGGAAATTCCTGGCTCAGCTGCAATTTCACAGATGGAAGTGGAGGCTCCTGCAGTGACTGATGTCACTGACTCTGGCATCACAATCAGTGGTGGTGGAGGCTTGCATGCAGCAATGGATGATGAGGAGATGGCAGAGATCAGATCAATAGGAGAGCAGCACCAGATGGAATGGAATGACACCATGAATTTGGTAACGTCAGCATGGTGGTTTAAGTTCTTGAAGACCATGGAACTTGGGGGTCCAGAAGGGAAGCCTGAAGATGATGATAATGTGTGGTACCATCCATTTGATGAAGCCATGGAATTTCCAGCCTGGTTGAATGCAAATGAGAGCTGTTTTCAACATCATTTGAATGATTACTACTCAGAGGACTATTTTCAAGATCCTGCCTTGCCTTGGTAAGACCCCAAGCAAACTCAGAAAAGGCTTGTTCCATGGCCCTTTTTTTCCTGGTTCCATAAGGAGCAGCTATTTTCTTTCATCACCAATCTGTTATTTTCTTCTGAATTGAAAATATTATGTGTGATTGCATCATTAGAATCTGTTTCTTTTTGTCTTTTACTGAAAATTAGTAATTGATTTTTTGAACCTCACCAGTTGCCATAGTCTTTATTGTCATTAGTGCAATGGTACCTGGGCCCAATAGAGCTAGTCATTATAATACGTGGGAAGCCATGAGAAAGTGTGGCCATTACTTTTGTTGTCTCTTCAGCTTCTCTTTTTACAGCTGAGAGCTGTGTTTGGACCTCTGTAAGTTCCATTTTTGACAGTAAGAAGCTTTAGCTGATAGGCATATATTATTTTTTTGAAGCGATAGTTTAAACTAAAAATGATATAAACTATAGAAGAATGAGATTTGTCACACACGCATGCATCGGTTTATTTTTTTTATTTTTTCTCTGCCTCAAGATCTTTGAGTATTAAAGCCCAAGGATACAAAATTATCGAATTTGAGGCTCGGCCCAATTAAATTTTTTGTGAAACACAACCTGTAGGTCTACATGCCCATGTCACCTTTTCATGGGCTTTTCTGTAAAGACTACGTTAGTTTGACTCAGAGGATTTTATTTTATTTTATAAAAAAATTATTTGAATTTGTTTATTGTTTTCTTACAAAATGATATAGTTTACTAATATTAATTTCTTTGCTTTGTTTTTCCCTTGTAAATTTGTGACATACAGCATGGACATTGGAGAAATTGAAGGTATTGATGGGGAGTGGTTAGCTTGAGCATGACAAGGATTGATGTTTTTTTTGTGAATCAAATCTTTGGCTCTTTTTCTTTCTTTATTAATTCTTTAAATATTTTTTTCTTTTCTTTTTCTTCTAGTTTCCTTTTCATCTTTGAGGACATAATAAAGGCTTGCAAAAAAATATATAGCAGGCAGGCCATAGAGGAAAATAATGAAGGAAGAGAAGGGAGTGTGCCTTGTCTCCTTTCTCAGCTTGATAGATTGAGAAACTTTTACATAGCTTTCCTCAATATTTTTAAGTTTCAGGGATTTGCTTCATATGCTATTTGAGAATATTTTATTTCTATCATACAGCTTTCATTGGGAGCCAATGATTGATGAGAAAAAAACAAAAAATTGAGAATTTTGTCTGCTTCTACAAATAAAATTGTGATGAGGACACACACAATTTGGCTCTCCGAGTTGTATTTCTGTTCTTTAAGCAGAGCTCATGTGGATTGAATTTGAACCACATTTGCAGGACAAATTATAAATAACGTGACTCACAGTGTTCCATACAATAATTACTCACAGTGTTCCATACAATAATTGTTCTTAAATTAATTCTTATAAATAGAATATGCTTTTTGTTTCTTTATTATAGAATAAAAATATTTAAAAAACATGTGAAGCTTGACTTATGTTCAACCTTAACAAAGGGGCAAAATCTCCATCTTCAGGGCATAAGATTTCAATTTCACAAATTTATTACTTTATTGATCAAACAGCTTAACACAGATTATGAATGATATGAATATGTAAAAGAAATGCATAGATCAGCAAATGGGGTGCATAAGAGCCTAAGTCTCCAAACATACAAATAGGTAAGGTTAATTACTATAATAAAATTCAAGGGAGCCGATATTTGCACTCCAAAATAAACTTCTTCGCAGCGAAACGCAAATTACACTTTCTGAATTTAATTATCGTTTTCTTCTTCGCAATAGTCTCGGCTGTTATAGGGGCTAAAAGCTTCTGAAAACCAGTTGTCCTTCCTCCAAGACTTCCATCCCATCTCCTCGCATATCTCATCACTGTGGTTGATGCTGAAAGTGGAAATGCAGTGTCTCTTGTAAAACCGGGTCGTCTTCTTCATCACCTCCATCTCTCTGCTGATCTGGTCAAGCATTTCTTGGACAGTGGGAAGTTTGAATTCATTGTCAACTAGTCTTGCTAGCCATTTGCCCCTCAACTCTGCTGTGTGCAGGTTAGAAACACTCTCTATGAACCCCACAAATGCCATGTTGGGAATCAATGGATGGATCGTACCCCTGAAATAACATGTGCAATCATTCATATAATCAATTAAGAATTCTAAGGGTTCATACAACTTTGGCTTATTATTAAACTATTATGCTCGTTTCAAATTGACAGTCTGACAATGTATCATACCTGTACAGGGGCATTGTCCCAGAAGAGTCAACCACGAGACTGCGGAAAGGCTCAGGTAACACAGATTGGAGCTTCTTCTTTCCCTCATAGCCTGTGGCAAGAAGCACAACATCAACTTCCAATTTGGTGTTGTCTTCAAACTCAATTCCTCCGTTCCAAAACCACCACTTTGGTGACCTTTTGAACGATATTTTACCCTTGTCTGCCTCAGCAAAAAAACTCTCAGGCAAAATAGCCATCTGGCAAGAAGCATAGTCCTCCACAAATGGGTGATCTGGTTTCAGTCCATACTTCACAAGTGGAAGCTTCCACACCAAATATGACTCTATGAACTTGGAAATTGCCATCCTCTATTCATGAAATAAAAAGAGTACCCAAGTTTGAGTTTTGCCTTTGAACAATGTATAATTAGTGTAAGAATTTAAGAGATAAATATGAATTTACCATAGGGGATGCAAGAAGGCAAAGCAGGGCTCTGAACAAGCTCTGGTTTGGCCTTTCATGTAGGAACTGAGAAGACCTTGTTGAATAAAACAGGAAAAATGGAAGTCCCCAAATCCAGTAAGATGGAACAGTCCAATGCAAATTCCTTATCACCATTGTGCATGCTTGCCCATCGGGTCCTTGAATTGACCAAAAGAAAAGTGTCAATTAATGTTTTAAATCTCCACTTGATCATTTGCTACAATTTTTTTTTAATACAAAACGATAGTTTAAACTATAAGAGAACGGTATTTCTCACATACACTACCATGAAGATTCGAACTTGAGATCACTGGACTGCAAGTTAAGGCCCTTTTCCACTGGGCTAAGTGATCATGTTGTACTACAAATTGATGCTAATTTTGGCTAATTAAGTTGTTGCTAAAGCACAAAGTAAGCTATAATTGGTAATATACTCATAACGTGTGGCCAACTGAATTTAATATATAATCTACGTTGCTAATGTCACTTTTCAGACTGACAGTTCCCACCAGTTTGACCATTCTGTCCCCCCTTAAGTGGGTTTATTTTTTGTTTTTAGCATTATTAATATCACTAATTAGGATTTAGGATGAGATTTTATAAAAATAAATATACCTTGGTTTGCCTCGGCGCACTCCATAGCCAAATCAATGCCTGACTTCTTGAAGCCAATAATTGCAACCTTCTTGCCCTTGAGGAGCTCACGAGCGGCTTCGTTGTCAAGCTTAGAGTAATCCATGGAGTGCAAGACTTTGCCTTGAAATACTTCTTGACCTTTGTTGCGAGGGAAACTTGGCATTCTTGGTATGTCTCCATATTTCCCAATGCAAATCACAATAAACTCGAATGCATACCACTGCAAAATCCGAACAAGTATTAGTTACAAACCAACCAAAAAAGTTTACATATTTATGACTTAATGTGTCATATTTATCGTTAATTTTCACATCACAAATACAACTATGCGTAAAAAAAAATAAGTTTTATAGTATGTCCCATAAGATGCAATTCGAGACATGTAACATTAATTTATTGATCGTATTGCTGATGACATATCTTATATAAGAATGTCTAGATGAATTTTAACTGAAAGATGTTACCAATAAATATATCAAAACATAATTAAAGTCATGCAAACTTTATCATAAAGACAGTAAGCATGCATGAAGAAGATGGTGACTAAAATAAAAGTTGTGTAAAGCCCAATTTTCTGGAAAAAACAACCTGAATGGTGTTTGGATCGCCGGACGTCTGAACGGCGACCTCCCAAACAGGATGGCCTGTCAAAAGGCTCCCATACTGCCCTGATTTCAAACTCACAGGCAGCTGGGTAGCTTGATCATTACCAACATAACGTATTTCCACCACCCTGGACTCAAACTTGACATATTTCAACACGTCAAAGTGTCTGGCATAGCCATACAAATAATCCAAGACCTCAACGTGAGAAGGGAAGCTTGAATTGTCCTTCTCAGCCCAAGGGTAGTCAGAAAACTGGAAATCGCATCGAGGGGTTTGGAGTTTGGTACAATTGTAAGAGCAGTGTTTCCAAACACCCCCAATCGAATCAGTGGCCTCAAACACCACAGGACTGTGACCTGAAAGCTGTTTGGCTGCAGCAATTCCGCTAATACCAGCCCCTATGATGCCTACTTTGGACACTGAGTGAATAAGGCGGGTTTGGTTATCAGCAGCAGCCATTTTGATGTTTGGATATAGCTAGCTATAGGTTGGACAGTATAAGCAAACACAATATATGAGTTTGTAATGGTTTTTTGCATGTGTATGGACTTGAGAAATGAGGCCTATTTATGGAGAGGGAAGGTTGACATTTTCTTCTTCTAACCCTAGTTGTATACTACAATTATATTTATAAATGTTGTTGGTAGATTCAGTACCTAAGTCCATAACAATCTATGTTATTTTATATCTGTACAATCTTCAAAACCCAGTTGGTAAACTCTCTCATTTCCCACTTTGTCTTCAATCATGAAATAATGATTTTGCGTTTAGTGGTGCACAATGGTTAAACACACACACACACACACAACTCAACCCTCCCGCCACCCGTTTTGAATGTCATTGAAAAAAATATTAACATAAAATTTTGAATGCAACACTCGGAATTCATTTTACTTGAGTTAAGGTTGATGCGTAAGATGAGTATATTAGATTACCAGTAAAATTATATGACATATATAGGAGTGCACGAGTGAAACAAAATTTGACTCCGTCTTGTACATTTGCATTATTTTCCAATTGCAAACCTTAAAGAAATAAAATCAATGAACTCATAGAAAATTGGGAGGCATAAGCCTATTTATATATGGGATTAGTTAGCATAAGACTAGCTTGACTTCTTGTGTTCCCATGGATATACAAGTTGACCATGCATGTATTGGTGTTTTGTGATATAGTTTGAGATCTGAGTCCACTAAATTAATCTAAAATTATGGTAGTTCCACTGTTCCTCTCTCACTGAATTATGTCACAAGTACATGCACTAATAGCAATTAGCAAAGTGTTCATATTGTTTTAATGATTGATATATATATATATATATATATATATATATATAGGCGCGTTCGCTAATCATCGGTCTAATTTATCTTATATGTCAAATAATAAGGGTTTAATTTAAACCAACTCGTCTTGGTAGAACCGAGTATGGATTATTTGCCGCGGCAAAGACCACATGACAATATCATATGTGCCACTACGTGTAGCACGTTTCTTGGCCCCACTCATTCTTATTAAAACTAATCTTGCATGTCAACGCAGCCAATCCTTTTCATGGACACCTATCAATCTATAATTATCATGCAATATTCAAAATATTATCATGGAATTACGATATTACCTAATTTTATAGTTCGAATTATCAATCTGACAACATATAAATTTAAATCGAATGCAAAATTCGTACTCATGACATGATAACTTTTTCTTATTATGAAGTGTGGATCGTGTGATTTGATATATGTGAATTAGACCAGTTAATGAAGATAGTGTGTATGATCCTACACCGAGGTCAATTCCCCATATATTAGACTTAGAGTTGTAAGAGATCGTTACCTCCTAGCTTCTCAATTTCAATATTAAGGTTAAGAAAATTGTGAATCTTCTATTACAATCGATTAAATTTACATGTTTTTCTTACATGTCCCTTTTTATTGAATTTTGTAATGGAAATTCAGTTAACCTGGATTCTCAACAACCATCTATGTACCAGGTCCTGTCCAGTACAAGCGACTTTTCGGTCAAGAACTTGAAAATACGTACTTATTTTGTTTTTTATAAGCAGAAAAATAAAACCTACCGAGTAAAGAAGTATTTGACTTGAAAATACGTAGAGAATTTTGGTACTTCTCACAGCCCACCTTTGGGTTGATGGCGTTATGGGTCACTTGACTCAGTTCATCAATTGGGTCATCGAAATTAACGTGTTTGATTTATATTTTTGACCCAAAACCACTTGCCAAATAAAATTTAAATCAAGATCCCTCTCCCACCCTAAACCCACGGTTTGTGTTCAAAACGAGGGAACTTTTGGTCTTTGTTATACATTTTTCCAGATTCAAGGTCCAACAATGTGCATGAAACACAACGAGTAGTCTCCAGAGGATGTCTTGGGTCAAATACAATTTTGAAAATATATTATTTAAATTTTAGTTATCATTAAATGAATGGTTATTAAATAAAAAATTCAAAAACTTACGTTATTCCTCAGGCTCTCATTCTTGGGGTCCTTGTATTGTGAACTTTTTGCGCCAACTATTAAAATTGGTGCTAAGGATCAAGATCATGAGCCAAGTTTTAGTTGCCATGGTACGGTTTTAAGTGATGGATTAGGCTGAGATGGGAATTTGGTAATGAGGATAGGTCGCAAAATTTCATTTTATAGAAGGATATGTGGGAGGTTTTAGATTGAAGAGGAGCTTCTGGCATGGTTTGAGTTTGTTGAGTGTGGGAAATCAAGAACATGGTTGCAACAATGCATGCCCTAATTTTATGCTAACACAAAGTTAGAGTGATTTCGTGTAAAAATAAAGTCTCTTTGAGTTTGAATGATTATTGGCTTCTAATATTTGTGGTTGAGGCTCACGTGGTTAAGAGGCTTGTACAAAATATAGTAAATTTAACTTACACCCTTCAAATTCAACTTACCTTACTTGCAACCCTTCACTTTTTGTTCCTATAAATAATACCCAATTTTTATCAGCAAAAACCCATGACTAGGATCCAACTTATCAAGTTACCTTATTAAGCTCAATATCTGATTTATTATAATTTTTTGATTGCCAAAATACCCCTATTTATTTTTCAATGTGTAATGGGGTGATGTTTTAATTTTTGGTTCCTTAATTTATTGTGGTGATTCCCTCTAAAATTTTGTCTGCAATTAATTATCGATTTTATTATTAAAATTCATTAATATAGTCAACAATTTGTTGGCCAAAAAAGTATGTTTTCCTTATTGTCTTTTTGAAATTTTGTTCCATCTTTCCCAGATAATAATTACCTATTTTAGAACTTGGATTTCATTTATTGTACTTAGTTTTTTCATGGATAATAATCTATCTATTTTTTATTATAAATTATTATGTACCTATTTTTCTGTAATAATCTACCTATTATTTTTTTATTATAAATTATTGTGCACCTATTTTCCATAATTTAGTTTTTTCATGGATAATAATCTACCTATTATTTTTTTTTTACAAATTATTGTGTATCTATGTTTTCTATAAATTATTATGTACCAATTTTTCTATAATAATCTACCTATTATTTTCAATAAATTATTGTGTATCTATATTTTCAATAAATTATCATGTACCTATTTTTCTGTAAATTTTTTTGGTAAATAATATACCTATATTTTTTTTATGTATATATGTTGTAAATGCATGAGTTGGTGGATGACCACCATACCTCTTAGTATTCCACCATTGGAGATTATGTAACTTATGCACTAAGTATTTATAATTAGTGCTTGTAACCTATAGGTATATTATAAATGATAGTATTCAATCTCCTATCTTGTAAGCCTATAAATAGGTGGTTATACCAAATATTAACAAAAGAATAAACATGGTGAAACTTTACCTTTAGCATATCAATTCTCTCTACATTTTCTCCCTATAGTTTTATAACACGTTATCAGCACGACATTGCTCTTAGTATGTTTTCTTTCTCTGAATTTTCATTCTTCTTATATGAGCTAGAGTCATCACATGATATAGAGTTTCTTTGTACTCACCATCAGACTTCGTCATGCTTGTTTAAGAAAAAAAAATTTCTTATTCTTATTACCCACGAATATAATGCCATGTTTTTTTTTTGTTTTTTTTAATTTTAAGTATAATCTTAATTATTATGATGAGTTTGTATTATACAAAAGATTAGGGCCTAAAGTTCCTCGATCCTCATCATATAACTAGATTAGGACCTAGAGTTCTTTTGATTGAATCAGAACCTGAAGTTCTTTGATTCCAAATAATTGAGGGCGTGAAGTTCCATGAATTTAAAGAGCATATAAGGACATGAAACTCCTCGATTTTGTATTAATTAAAATCAGAATTCCATGAGGCATACATATGTCAAGAACCCGAACCAGAAGTTTCGAGTGCATATACATCGATTTGAGTATGAAGTTCAAAGCACAACTATTAATTCAATTTATTTAGATCTACGTATTCGAACCTGAAGTTTCGAATATATATTGATATGAACCTGAACTTCATAGTTTTTCATGGATCTTAATACTATATATGAACCTGAAGTTCATTACTTATTTGTGCCTATATGAACCTGAATTGGTTGGAAATCCAATTCTTAAACTTGTAGTTTTATCTACATATTGAATCCATATTAATATTGGATTATCTTGGAATTTCATAGTCTTTAATTTATTTATTTTATTCATCGTTTATACCACTTTAATCATTTTATTTTATTTTTTATTTATGTTGGGTTATTAGTTAATTTCGTTTTACAATGGTAATGTTTTGTATTACCGCCCTAATATTGACAAGAGGCGTCTATTGGAGAAACTTCCTACTTTCTTTTGTGAGTAGAAAGTTTATGATGTCATGAACCAAAAGTTCATGAGGCCCTAATATTACACAACTAAGTAGTTGAAGATTATGATATCATGAACCAGAAGTTCATTGACCGGATAACTTTTATGTTGTGGCATGACTATCTTGGCAATCCATGTTCTACAATGATACATAAGATTTTTATAAATTTGTAAGGACATCGTTTAAAGACTCAAAATATTGTCTTGTCCAACAAATATCATTACAAAGAATGCTCACAAATAAAAGCTGTCATAAGATCACATCAGTCAAAAATTGACTTTGAGCCCTAATTCAAGGGGATATTTGTGAGCCTATACAACATTTAATTATGAATCACTTCATCAGTTTTACTAAATGTGCTTACTAAAATGGTCACATATTTGATAATGTCTGTGAGTTTATTTTCCTAAATTTTGAGACAATTTTTCCGCCGTTAGGGGGAGAAATGACAGTTCCTGAAGAACATCGTGAAATAGTGTTGAATCGGTCCACTTTTGTCTCATCAAGATAATGCATATATAAAGTTATGAATATGCAAGCATAGATTGATATTCATGTATCACAATTCATTAACATGACAATAAGTAACTATGAGCATGACAAAAATATAGGTTCTAAAAACTTAACTCCCTAGAAGTAGAGATTATTTGAAAAATTCAAACCCTATAAAAAATAACGCTCTATATGAGGTTATGATCCACATATTCTAATTAATTAATCGTAAAAGAGATATTTGTTCCATAAGTGACAACATCAACCCCTAAAGAGGCATTGGTACCCCAAAGCAATGAGATGCTTATAAATTATGCATGCGCATGCACATGAGAATTGTGGGATCATGAATTGATGATACATTTGGTTTATTAGTAGCTACTACAATTATCAAGGGCTATGATTATATTAAATCGCCTTATGAATATCGACAAGTTAAGTGATTGGCCAAAATGGAAATAGGCAATTCCATTTATCACTAAATATGAAGTGTGAGATATTGAACTTATAGCCCAAACACCAAATTACAAATGTTAAGTTTGAAGGTTACGAATTAGTGTTTGTAAAGTGAAATAAAATCACTAATATGACATAAGGTTTCCTGGGAGAGACATGATTTTAGTCTCCCATCTCATCGTAGATGCATCCACATTTCTATAAGTGCAGTTGTTATTTTAATGTGAAACTTATAGCATGTGTTAAATGCATATTTATTTAGACTGTATGGTACATGGGGATCTTCAAAACTCATGAAATATTTTAGATATATCGGATGAAGCGACCCCTTGAAGGATATAAAGTAACACAATATTCTTAATTAAGAGTTAACACTAAGAGTTTGAGTATTTTGAATTCAAATTTGATATTGTTGTAACATATTCTAACTATTAAATTAGTTGTTGATGCTCCTAAAGATTTCAATCATTTGAAAAGTGAAAAGTAGGTCGAATAGTGTGATAGACGATCATGTATGAACACAATGTTGCTTGTATTACTCAAATCAGAGAATTGGAGATATTAATCAGGGAGAGATATCAATAAGGGGGAGCATCCCAATTCTACTACATACAGGACATATGTGCGTTGTACTTTTTTTCTCTTCGACTAGATTTTTGTCCCACTGGGTTTTTTCTAGCAAGATTTTAACGAGGCAATATAAGTGCATCCAACACCATATCAATGATCTAGAAGAAAGTTTCACTCTTTTTCCCTTCGCTTCGGTTTTGTCCCACTAAGTTTTCCAAGCAAGGTGTTTAATGAGGGAACTATGTCATTGTATGGTGGACATCCAAGGGGGAGTGTTGTAAATGCATGAGTTGGTGGATGACCACCATACCTTTTAGTATTCCACAATTGGATATTATGTAACTTATGTACTAAGTATTTGTAATTAGTGCTTGTAACCTATAGGTATATTGTAAATGATGATATTCAATCTTCTATCTTGTAAACTTATAAATAGGTGGTTCTACCAAAGATTGACGAAAGAATAAATATGGTGAAACTTTAGCATCACTTCTCTCTACATTTTCTCCTTCTAGTTTTATAACAATATATTTATATTTATATTTTTCATAGGTACATTATTGGATATGTAATTTACATATATATATTTTTGGTTTGCAATTTTAAGGGCGATATGTTAGAGAGAATAGTAGCCAAAAGAAATGGGGTGATTGATATGCTATTAATAAGGAGTATTAATTACAATTATGGTAGTTAATAAAATACTTGAAATAAATTATAAATTAAATATGAAGTTTAGTGGCAATGATGTAAAAACGTAGGAATACTATGACCTCTTATATCCTACTAGTCATTTAAATTTGAAATTGGGTTTTACATATAAATTTATAGAATGATGGGTATATGTCTAGGAAATAGAAAATGTAGGGACCTATATTGGACAAGCCCTATAAAATAAATAGAAAAGCTCGTGCTTTTATTGCCTAGTACTAGCTAGTTAGGAAATTTGGAAACCCTCTCCCCTTTCCTTTTTTTTTTTTTTTTTTTTTTTTTTTTTTTTTTTTTTAAAAGTTTAGGGAGAGATTGACTACACTCATCATTAGTGCCATACATTGGCGGATCTAGTAAGGCGCAAGGAGGTGCAGCTGCACCTGCCTTAGCCTGAAAAACCATTGTAAGTACTTCAAATTGCCCATTTGCTCAACTATTGTACAGATTACCTCATTTTCATCTTCAACATTTAAGTAAATGTCTTTGTCTTTTTACTTTTATTTATTTTTATATTACTCCATTTACTTAAGTTTACAATGTAAATAAGGAAGTAACCCCCATTTGGATTCAAATAAAAATACTAGAAAATCAAATTCCCACCAAATTAAAATATGAAAATTCGGTTTTAGTGCAAAATATGATTTAGGCTAAAAATGAAGGCTCATTAAGTCAATATATACTTCATACTAAAATCCCATAAAATCAAGTTTTCTTATTTGATGTGTAAGGAATAAAAGCCGCCAAAAAATATCTTGAGAAAATGATTACTCCGAAAAACCATTTTTCATACCTAGTCAATATTGCACCTCTGCTAAAAAATTTCTGGGTCCGCCAGTGATGACATACCCACAATTTCGAATCGGAAGGACTTACATGTGGCACTCAACTGTCAACTGCCACCCCACAATCTCGAATCAGAAAGACTTACACATGGCACTCAACTACCAACTGCCACCGGTATGGAAAGTTGAAACTTGAAAGCATCAACCATCAACCATAAACCATAAACCATCAACCATCAACCATCCTCGTACAAAAAGTAGCTGTTTATAAGCTCAGATCTTGAGGTACGTGACAGCTTTGCTACAAGAATATAGCTAAATAATTAAAACGTATGCAAAAGCAGACACAAAAGGGAAATTTTATTGCAGTAATTCGAGGTTCCATTCTACAAAACACTATGCACTTTCTTTGCAGCAGTGCAAATTACACTGATCCATCTATAAACAGATTCAGAAGTACCACAATTCAAATACCTTCATATTAATTACTTTACAATGAAAGAAGCAGCACATTACTATGCCTGACTTGCCGATATCCTAATTAAAATTCAGACCAAAAGCCAAACAGATAATTGAAAAAAGAAGAAGCAAATGCAACGTAAAGGAAAGTTTGTAACAGTCACTTCTTCTTCTCATCACTGTCATCCAAGAAAAATTAGGCCTCTCTACCTTCGTAATTCTCAGAAGAACACATTTATCTCCAGCTTAGCTCAGAGATTCACTGGGTATCTTTCAATGCACTCAAGCCATGGATTTCTAGAAGGCTTCCTAACGCGGCGCATGGACCGCCAAACAAGGCTGTTGCATTTGAATCCAGAACCAAATGCCAATTGCCAAACCCTGTCTCCTCTCTTCACCTTCTCTTTTGCTTCCAAATAAGCCAGCTCATACCATATGCTGCTGCTTGACGTGTTGCCAAAACGGTGTAGTGTCATCCTAGAAGCCTCCATGTTCTCCTCACTAAGCTCAAGGTTTTTCTGCAGCTCATCTAGCACTGTCTTGCTTGCTGCATGGACGCAAAAGCGCTCGAATGCAAGCTTGAAATCGGGGATATATGGCCTCTTGCCAGACAATAAAGATGGCTGTGAAGTGCCTCTACCAGAAAACAAGTGCCTTGAAACCAATGTAGCAAAGAAGAGGAGCTGCTCTGAGAAGGGCAAGACCAGAGGTCCCAAAGTTGTGATGTTGGTTTTCAAAGCATCGCCACCAATTTCCACTAGTTCTTTGCTGATCTTCAGCCCCTTCAATCTATTTTCATCTTCCTCTTGGTACACACACCTGTGGCATCACATGTTGTAGTTGAGTTAATTACAAGGTTAGTTCATAGATTAAGGGTCGTGATTAATTAGCACCAAGCACTAATTTACAATAATTGTTTTTAGTACAAGCGATAGTTTAAATTATATGGGAGGGGATTTCTTACACATACACAAATATTCGAACATGAAACCTCTTGTCTGCAAGTCAAGCCCTTTTTCATTGGGTTAGACCCGTTGGCCTAATTTACAATAACTAGATACTGTAAATTGACGCATGTTACCTTTCTCGTTTATCCTTGTACCCAAAAAAAATTAATGGGTTGAACCTAAAATATTCTGTCATGGGCCAATCAATTAATGCTAGTCCATGGACCACTCTAACATCCAGAGCCGAACCTCTCACCCTGTTATCTTCTAGGATGAAGGTCAATTACTTGATTGAAACTTGGGTCCCAAATTTAATAGCTCTCTTTTCAAACAGCAAAAGGGGAACTCTAGTAGTTTTTAACGTTGCCCTTATTAAATGTTGAAGCATAATGTATTATGACTTGTTATGTAAGGAAATTGGCAATGGTAAATGCAAAAAATAATTAGCAAGGAAGCAAGATGAAAATCGCAAACCTGAAACTCCGGTCATCGGCGCCTTTATGTGTACGAACAATGTGTTCTAGCCGGTACTTGGCACGGTGGTAATCACGGCGGCGATTTGAAAGCAGCACGGCAGAGCACCCCATGCGGAAAAAGCAATTAGGAATGAGCATGGACCTGTCACTACCAGGGTACCAGTTATATCCCACCATCTCAGTACTCACCACCACAGCATAGTTATTAGGATTGGCCTGAAGCATGTCCCTAGCCAAATCAACTGCTATGATCCCGGCACTGCAGCCCATACCTCCAAGATTGTAGCTCAAAATGTTGCCTCTCATTTTGTAGTGGTTTATGATCATGGCTGATAAGGATGGCGTAGGGTTGAAGATGCTGCAGTTTACTACTAGGACACCTACGTCCTTCGGACGGACCCTGGTCTTTTCGAAGAGCTCATCGAGTGCCCCAAACATTACTGCTGAGGCCTCTGCTCGGCCTTCTTTCATGGTTGCTGTGTTTTCGGTCGACGCGATCACTGATTTTGGGATGTATGTCTCGTCCCCTAGGCCTGATGTGTTCAGAATTCTCTTCTGGAATGCTAGGCTTTCCTCATTGAACTTGCCCGATTTTCGTGCTACCTCTATGAACTGATCCTTGGACACCTAATGAAGAACCGTGTACCCATCAATTCTTTTGTCCCACATCATAAACATGCTTTAAATAGTGACTAGAATAATATGATTGAGTTAAAACCAACCTTTAGGTCGTCATGAGGGCGATAGCAAGCAAAATCAACAAGGTAGATGGAGCGAGGGCGTGACATGAAGTAGACAGACAAAGTGAAGACAAAAACACCAAAGAAACCAAGCACAGTTGCAAGGTCATAACGTGCATCGTCCCAAAGCTTCTTCCACAGCTCCTCCTTACTCAAACTCCCAACCTCAGCACTGAAAACCAGCACGAGCACAGGAATTGTGGCCAAGTATATGGCATGGTTTATGAGGTGGTGGTAGCCCAATTTCACATACTTTAGGTTTACTGACTGCAGAAAGTCCGGCAGCCGCCTTCGGACTCTGACTGAGAACGTGAGAGAGCCAGCATTGGGGCCTGAAGACTCAATCCCACGGTTCACAATCTCTGTGGACAAGAGATCTCGTTCACTAGCCATGGCAGATGATGGGATTGGGATATATTCTTATGAAGAGGGGATGTGATGAGGAGGTTAATATTTATATGATCATCAAAGGTGGTGGGTGGAAAAGAGTTAATGCAAACACCAACTAGAACCAACTAGACGAGGGATTAGTTGGGGGCTTTTAAGTGCCTTAAATTCTTTTCATTAATGGAATGAAATTTGGGGTGTGTGAATTCCAAGTCCAAATGCAAGTCATCTTCTTCTTCTTCCTGGTTTTTCTCTTATCTTGAGGAGAATTTATTAGTTCTGGTTATGGATGTGAGTGAAGATGTCACACTTTGTTGGGTTTCTTGTGACTCGTGAGTATTAAATAGAGTCGAAACAAAAGCCAAAAAAGGAAATTAAAGGAGGTGGTTGAAGGGATTGCCTTCAAGCCATTAGCTGGCTTTACCCGGCTTGGTTTGGTTCAGCTACCATCATCATCACCGTTCAACCATATTTACCCAGGTTCTGGTTTCATTTTATCCTTAAAGAAATGAAATCACAGCAGAACAAAATTACCAGACTCTCAGAAAAAACTGAAGGCATGTGGAATACGTTTTGATCAAGATGCTTATTGGATTGGATAACCACATTACATGTCCTGTCAACTGGGGCAATAATACTGATCAATTCTTTTGGTACTGCGTCTCCATCTCTAATATAATTCAAACGTGAAATACAAGAAAACAGTATATCTCACCTATTTTACTGGAGTTGTAGTAGGGACAGTCGTCTGCATACGCATGGTGGTTAGCCGTCGATGGGTTATGGGAACACACTTTCACCGACAGCTAACAACCATCCATAGACAAGCGTGCGACTATCAATAACATTTCTTTATAAGAAATGTGTTATTGCCAGTAGCATTTTTCTTTATATTGCACTGGAAAATCCGAATCTTTATTCCCGAATGTGACCAGGCTTGTCTATATAAGAATAGGAAGATTAGTAGTCAAGTAAGCAAAGTCAGCTAGTCAGGAGATTACAAATTTAGCTATGCAAGCATGAAGTTTCATCCTCAAAATGACCACCTCTAGAAGACTAGAACTAACACTACTCTTGCAAGTTGGCCTCCTGTCGAACAAGAACCTAAGCCCACCATTTACGCGTGCCAATTCAGCATGTAAACGTTTATTAGGAGATTACAAATTTAAGCCTGTGATTCAGATGATAAAAGAGAAATCATAGCCTTGGCAGAGTCTGGTCCATGATTGTTCACACTCGGTACTATGTCAGCTGGAGATATAAGTTTCACAAACTCTTTGAGTTCTGTAAAGCTGGAATGTTCGCTGTATGGGACCTCATACCTGCATTGCAAGGACCATCATCTCTAATTAGTCACATGTTATGCTATATCTGTAACTTTTCACACATTTGAAAGTAGGCATCCATTCATGTTTCACTTTAAAAGCTATGCTCACATGCAATAGCTAGAAGGCTAAATTATGTTTGACAATCGACTGCCGGTGACATGGCTTACATCAACAGTTGGGTTTACAAAATCCGCACCATCTTTTTTACAGGGGAGCGTTTATTACTATATTGCATGATGTTTAACTGTCAAGAGCTTCTTCCATCTATGGAAATGGAGAAAATGTCACCTTATAATGGTGCCCTGCTGCGACCTTCTTCCTGGAGACTTCTTCTTTCCTTTACCAAAAGTCCAACCAGTTGGAGAGAAAGCAACAATAAGGCTGAATCGACTCTGAAAGTTCAGCAGAAAGGAATTAGTCAAAATAGTAGTCACTTCTAAACTTCAGTCCACATTCTTTTAAGCCCATCTAAATCAGTAGAATTTGAGTTCACGGAAAGGGTAACTTAATCTAGGGAGGAAATTCATAACACAATACAACTTCACAAACCTCAGAGAATCAAATATCTTATCCCAAGATCAGACTTTATTAGAATTTGCAGTATACATCTAATACATAACTTATAATGAGGGAAAAAAAAATGTCTGGGTATATCTACATACCAAGGTCATAACATATTAATAAAAAGGGTAACCCCTCACCGCATATTGATTGGACATATGCTTCAGTCGCTTGAAGCTTGCAAGTGTCCACATAGGCACCACATGGATTTGGCTTTCCTGTTCATTTAATGTAAACCATCGCATATCCTCCTCAGGAAAATCCAGACATTTTAAAATATGCAGCTTTCCTGGGTTGATGTAAATTTTTTTCCGGAGCACACGAGCTACCTCCAAATAAAGTCGTTCCTTTCCTTTTGCAAAATGAAAATAAAACACATGGATGGGGAGAGAGATGAGTGAAATGGGGTTAAAGTGATAATTGCAAGAAAATATAATGACCACTTCATAAAGTAATCTAATGATATAGAGCAATAAACTGGTACGGATACGTTAGAGCAGTGAACTCTACCAATAGTATAGCTGCCAATCAGAAATAGAGTTTTAGGGTTGAAAGTTTCCGCTTGAATGGCATCAATGACAAACTGTATTACAGCCTCCTGCTTTGGAAAGTCATACTGCAAAAAATCATGAAATGGGAGTAAAATTCAATTCATTCTAGATTCGTATGATGTAATATACTTTCCAATGATAAAAAAAGGAACTAACTATTTGCTGAGGGTAGAAAGGAAAGATCGAAAATTAAGTATCAACTTGTCGCAGACAGACTAGTGCATAGTGTAATGGCGAAATATATACTAGCTAGTATATTGACATTATGGAAATTAGGAGTTAATTACTTTTGACATAATGCCACAATTCATGGGTCAGACTCACCTGTGGGTTACAATAAGTGGTATCAAGGATGAGAGTATGGATAGAACATGTTTGCAAAAAAGACATGCTTGCTGCATTCTCACTAAACCGAAAGTCCCCTGTATGTAGAACAGCCTATATACAAAAGGAACCAGGATCATTATCCCAAAAGAAGATAGGAAAAGAAAATATACCAGAGTACTACCGAGTGGGTCAGGAAGTAAGTTTGGACCACACCTTACTGTTGGGTGGCTCAAAAAGTATAATTACAGAACCAGGACAGTGGTTTGCATCCAAACAGGTCACATCAATACCAGCAATATTGATTTTTTGGTTGAGAGGTAGAACTTTTATATTGTCCCACGGAATGCCAATCTTCATATTTACAAGCTTAGCTGTGATGGAAGAACAATAAATCTTTCCATGACAGAAGGACTTCGTTAGACCTTGATAATCTGCAGTAACAAATGCAATCATATCAAACCAGACAACCTTGACCCACAAATGACTGCACACATTTTTAGCCAAAGGTAGTAGTTGCCATCACTCCAACTGGGGTACGTTTCCAGACAAACAAGCAAGATCAAATTTAACCCAGAAAAGAAAAGCATTCTTACGATCCATGTGAAAGTGAGTGAGAAACCAATGCGAACAATCCCGCCTAAGATATTTGAAAGCATCCTGCAAATGTTGAGAAAAATGAACTTAGCAACAAGACCTGCCTCGTGATTATAAATGAAGAAGGTGAAAGCACCATAACTTATCCTAAAGCTGAAGAACAATTACATACTAGAGAAATGTCTTCGTCCTTAATCTAATACAACAGAAACATTTGCAATCCTTTGCAAGGCCTCTTACCACTCGAAATGGTGTTCCTGGTATGCAACACCACGAGGGAATATCCCTGAGTTTCCGAGTAGTCACATGATTTTTGGCCGCACCACCTTTATGACCAGAACCTGACCCACGTTTTTCTACCCTTTGCTGTTCTCCAGAGGTGGTGCAAACTTGCTTCCTAGCAGTAGTAAAACCTGGAAAATAATCTGTAATCAACTTGTTTACAGCTGTTTTACTATTATCAACTGGTTCTTCCGAAGCATCATTGACTGTCTCAACTCCACTAGCGCTCCTTTTTCTTGGTTGTGCTTCAATTCCAGGACTAGTAGTCCCTTCTCTAAGTTGAGTAAGGGCATGTACAATCTTCTTTCGTGGACCAAGTGCAGCAATGCCTATGCTGAACAAATCCTTCGCAGTACAAGAAACCAATTAAAAAGACAAATTCAATCCATTAACAAAGCAACCAAAGGGTGAGTGTAGTTTCTCAAGTTCTCAACTATGCATTTGTTAAGTGACTAAGTGTATGCTATGTTATATACCTCTTCTGTGAGCCATTGTAAAGTGTCCCAATCAATTTCTTCTCGAACAAAAGCATCCTCGTACTTTTCTAAGCCCAGGCTGCGTAGCCACTGAAGAACTTGCCCAGAAACTTGAGGTTCCCTTTGGTCCTCTTCAGGAATTGAAGCCTGCTTGAGATGAAATACCCAACACTACTTCAATTAGCAATTACAATCAAAAGGGAAAATCTTCCTAAAGATTGAAACTTTACACTTACATCTTGAGCTTCAATTTCCACTTTGTCAAGACATTCATTGCTGTGGACCTGACGCTCTTCGTCGCTCAAATCCGAGATGTCAACCCCGCATAGAGGGCACTGTACCAAACCCCCATTTTCGTCCTCCACAATTCCATACCCTTCCTCCATTCCACTGATACCAACACTCTCTCCCTCTTCTGCTTGATCGCAGAGCTTGAGCAGCACATCAAGCTCCTCAAAATCCTCATTCGGCGAGTTTCCGTTACCAGAATCCAAACTGCAATCAGCTCGAGGCTTGATTAACTTAGACTCTATCGAATTGCAAAGATAACCCCCTTTTGATTTTAACGATCCCTTTTCCTTTTCCTTTTCTTTTACCTCATCAACGCACGCGGAAGAGCAAGCGACATTATCACCATCGAGGCCCCCATAGTCGAAGCTAGCAGGTATGGAATCCAAGCTGAAATCTTCAATAGGCATGGATTTGAAACCCTGGGTTTGCACCAAAATAGAGTCTTGGTTGCTGAAAAAATTGGGGGGAATGTTTTCCTTGCCGGAGCTGAAAGGTTTGGAGCGCTTCAGTTTCTTGGACGGCTTGGGAGCTGTGGCTGTTTGGGTAAGAGGGATCTGAAAATCATCATCGTCTTCGACTATGGAGTTGAATCTGGTAGAAGAGAAAGGCTTGGACTTGGAGGCCATGTTTGGTTTCTCTTCTCCCTTGAGTCTTCTCTTGTTATCACTACTCTCACTCCGCAGAAACTGTCTGGTTCTTTGTAAAACTGTGAACTGTCTGTAATATACAAGAAGGAGAAAAGCCGTAAAGGAATGGTTTTTACAGAAGCTATTCGAAAATTTGTTTGGAGCAGAGGAAAGGGAGGGAAAATTAACCCAAAAGTTGAGTCTGAGTGTTTTTTGGTCAAAAAGCTATTATTGTGCCAACGTTCCAAGGCCCAGTTTGTTATTTTGGGCCACAATCCCAAATAAATCGGGTTGATTTTGGGCCGATTGGCGTGGGTCATCAACGAATCTTCATGTACAATCCGTCGTCAACTAGATTCCTCTGATTTTCCATCTCATTCTCCCGGAATTTCCGTCATCTTCTTCGTCTCTTTGCTTACTCAGACTCACAGTCCCACTCTCAGATCCTTATTGGCTTCACTTTTCCCAATCACCACTTACTTCTTCTTGCTATGTCTGGGGACGAGAAATGGTGCGTGGTGACCGGCGGCCGAGGCTTCGCAGCTCGCCATTTGGTTCAGATGCTGATCCGATACGATGTGTTTCGGGTCCGAATCGCCGACCTCGGCTCCACCGTTGATCTAGAACCTTATGAGGAAAATGGCATTCTCGCCGAAGCTTTGAGCTCCGGTCGCGCCCAGTACGTGGCCATTGACCTCCGCAGCAAGAGCCAAGTTCTTCAAGGTCAGTATTCTCCTTCAAGCTTGAAATTGTATTAATGGCGGCTAGTTTGTATTGCGTAATTCAATCTTACGTGCTCGTCTGCATTCAATCTGTAGCATTTCAAGGAGCTGAGGTCGTGTTCCACATGGCGGCTCCCAATTCTTCCATCAACAACTACCAGCTCCATCACTCGGTCAATGTGGAAGGTACACAATCAAATTGTTTTTTTTTTTTTTTTTTTTTTTTTGTTTTTTGCTTGTTTTTTGGATTTTGTTGGGGTTTATGCAATGTTCTATGCTTAATGCTTTGCAGGAACTAAGAATGTAATTGATGCTTGTACTGAGCTAAAAGTAAAGAGACTTATCTATACTAGCTCTCCTAGTGTTGTCTTTGATGGGATTCATGGGATTTTTGATGGGGAGGAGTCTTTGCCGTATCCACCTAAGGTACTAGTATTGCTAATTGAATGAATCTCAGCAATGCAAGATTGTATTTCAGTACGTATATAATTCTGGGTTGTGTTGTATGACTGGTTTCAGCACAATGATTTCTATTCGGCAACTAAAGCCCAAGGAGAAGAATTGGTAATCAAGGCAAATGGTGTTAAGGGGCTTCTAACATGTTGTATACGCCCTAGCAGCATTTTTGGACCTGGTGATAGGTTGCTGGTTCCATCTTTAGTGGTTGCCGCCAGAGCAGGGAAATCCAAGGTAAGTAAGTTGGTGATACTTTACACATTCGTCTTCCTTGCAACAGTGTTAATAAAGTCCTCCTTCAACAATATCTAATGCTCACTTTTTTCTCTTCTTTTCCGAATGAACAGTTCATTATTGGTGATGGCAATAACATTTATGATTTCACATATGTTGAAAATGTGGCACATGCCCATATATGTGCAGAGCGAGCTCTAGCATCAGAAGGGACAGTTGCAGAAAAAGCTGCCGGACAGGTATTCCAACACTATATGTATTCCACTGAAATAAAGATTAGAGAGAGAGAGAGAGAGAGAGAGAGAGAGAGAGAGAGAGATTTCAGTTTTCTTTTCCTTTGCTTAATTTTTATCTTCTTCCAAGTCTAACTTTCTTATAGGGGGGGAATCAAACAATTCCAACTTTAAGTGCAATTGTTTTACCGTGAGGCTTGAATTTAAAAGATGGCAGAGTCTTGCATCCTTATGTTTGCTTTAAAAGATTGGCAGTCTTTTAAAAGTTACTTCGCATGTCCGCTTGATGTCAAGCTAAAGTATACAGAGACTATTTTGGCATTCTAGCTAAAAGAGACTGCTTTTGCAGGCATATTTTATAACCAATATGGAACCTATCAAGTTTTGGGAGTTTGTCTCACTTATTCTAGAAGGTCTTGGCTATGAAAGGTACTTCTTTTTCTTAATCCTTTCATTTTAAGCATACCTGGGATGTAATCACTGTAGTCCTCCATCACTACTAAAAGAATGATGTATATCCTAACTTACACCTCAGAGCCTATGTTTAATGGCCCTTCTTCATACTACCTGTAAGGCTTTAATTCCTATTTTTTATATAATTGAATAACCTGCAATTTTTGTTTCTTGGTTTCCATTTTCCCTGAATGGGTATTGTTTGCAGGCCAAGAATAAAAATCCCTGCCTTTGTTGTGATGCCAATTGCACATGTGGTGGAGTGCACATATAAGCTGTTAGGCCCATATGGAATGAAAGTTCCACAGTTGACCCCTTCAAGAGTTAGACTCCTCTCTTGCAGCAGATCTTTTAAATGTTCAAAAGCACAGGATCGAATCGGCTACACACCCATCGTATCACTTCAGGTTCTATAATGTTTCATACATAGAGTCATAAGTCCTTTTGTTAATGAATTGAATTGCACTTAGCAGAGTCACTGGAACATCCAACCGCATGTATCCACCTTGATTGTATACCTCTCCACTTTTAATCAGCAGATTATCGAATTCAACCAAAAAAATTTGGAAACATTATGAGAAAGTCCTTAGAAAAGACCATGCATGCTATTTTGGGGTTCAGACTCGGACTCTATTAATACTTCATTTCTTCTACTTCGTTGGTCTTCATTTCTTAATGAACATGTCACTTGACACCAGGAATACAATATTTACATTTTGTCTTCCTTTTTTTCATACCTATACCGCCTTTTCATGTTGCATGACTGCTGACCTGTTTGGTTATTTGGTATTTGATGAATTCATATAGTGAGCTAGCAAAAAGTTAACCATCATAAGTTAGACTTTTGATACTTTGAGCCAGCTATAAATACACTTCAAGCGTCTGTCTGAATGAAAGTTGCCAGTATATGCCGTGAAATTGTGAATCTTTGATTAGGATGTTGTTTGTGCTGTAATTAAAGTAGAGAGTATTGCTTCAAACATCTCTCTTATTGATTTGCACTTATTAATGAGGCTTTACAAAGGTCTAAGCAGTCAGCCTGTCACTGTACATTTTTGCCCAAATTCTGGTTTAGGTGCTTCTCTTGTGACAATGGGATGCATACTTTCCGCAGGAGGGTCTGAAAAGGACAATCGAGTCGTACCCACATTTGAGGGCTGAACAACCACGTAAAAGAGAAGGGCCATCTAAAGCTTCTATATATCTTGGGAGCGGGATGGGTATGACTCATCAGTTTCTTCTATTCATCTTATTTGATGTTTTCTAAAGGTTCACCAAAAACAGGCATAATGACATCCTTATGATTGAGTCGGCATGAGAGAATAACAGTATGCATGCACTCAATTATTGCACTAAATGAAGCAATGCATTTACTGCTGTTGCCTTTGACAGTTGCTGACACGTTACTCTGGAAGGATAAAAAGCAAACCTGCAAGGCGTTATTAGTTTTGATTGCAATCTACTACAACTTCATTGTAACTGGATCTACAATAATTACTATTCTTTCAAAGCTTCTTCTGGCAGCTTCAATATTCGTGTTCATCCATGCCAGTTTACCAGAAAAGATGTATGGCCTATGACCTTCTTGTATATATTCATATGCTGCTTGGTTTGAAAATGTCTATTTTGCTCAGCTCTCAATTTGAAGTTAAGCTAACTACTAACTACAAATAAAATTTCACTGTTCCAGATTAGGGTATAAAATTGAGAAGCTTGATTCGTCACATTTCTACTTATCACAAGAGACGTCAAAACAAATCACCAGATTGGTAGCCTCATCATGGAATGCATCTGTTAGAGCTTTAAAATCTCTTGGCAAGGGAAACGATGGGTTATTGTTCATTAAGGTATTGCTCTGCTGCTCTGCTGCTCCCATCTTCTTTTGTGCTTCCTGCTATCTATTCTTTTGATTACGTATAAGTTCATGTACTGCATTGATGCATTACTTTTAAGTTCTAACACTAGGATAGAGTGTGCTAAAGAGGTCCAGAATGCATATGCTAGGGGGACAACATTTTCCCAGAACTTTCTCGAAGTAATTTATAGTGTTGCACCTCTCCTCGTTTCTGACGGTTACTTTATATTTAATGGTGATGTTGTAGGTTGCTCTCTCCCTATTGGTTCTCAGCTTCCTCGGGACCATTTCACTTCGGAACTTATTTGTCATAGGTCTCTCTCTCTCGATCTCTCAAGTTACATATTTCTTTGGACTGCCATACTGATTCTTTGGTAGTTGAGGCCTTAAAAAAGTTCTTTGTTTCCTTATTGTCTTACTGTTCCAGGGGTTCCTGCTGCCTTTGTAGTTTTCTACGTGTATGAGAAGGAAGAGCAAAAAATTGATGCCCTGGTCCTAGAAGCTCTCTCTCGTGGATGCAAATTGAAATCTGATATTGTCAGAAAAGTCTGCACATCCAAGAAGATTGAGTGACTGAGTGTTACAATAGTGCTGCCACTGCTTGCCTCAATTCATAGAGAAAAAAGCACTGTTGGATGTGATTGTTGTGTCCCATATTTTCACTTTCATTTCTCTTTTTTTCTAACCAGGTTGCCATCTTTTCTGTTCATATTCACCAAAGTATTTTCAGACTATATAATATCACTTTCCTAGCTATAAATTTTTTCTCCAACAAGACTAATAGCAAATATTACTAATTATTAAATTTTGCTGGCATCAGCTCTCTTTCCGCCGTTCATTTCGATTATCCATGACTATGAACAGCTTGAGATGACATGACTAGTTGCTTATCTAAATGGTTGCCATCGAGTCAGTCAACCACAAGATTATTTATTTGTTTTATGGGTTGCACGTTGCACCTCAACAGTTACTTCATATGACAGTTTACTTATTAAAGAATTTGGGTCAACTTTTAGGTGACCCAGAGGTGTCAAATTGGAGGAGTCATGGAAAAGGACTGTAATCTGAAACGACAGCAATTGAATTTCCAAGAACTCCTCCACCCCACTGAACCAAATAAATAATACAAACTTTTTTCTGTGATCACGGACCACAAAAATGTCCACCATGTTTCTTCAGATGTGGTACCAGCCAATGCACTGTCAATTGTGTGCATGAACTTTTTTATAGATCATCCTCCACCCAAATGTCTCTCCTCACCTCACCCATTATATTATGTGAACCATTTCCAACCATCACTTATAAATAGTTGATTAATTTTGGGAGAGACACAAGACTTGATTAGTGGGTTTGATTTTTGTCAATACATGTCATGAATCTGATCAAGATCAAGATGCTCACTTTAGCATTGAATTACTTGGTTTTGTTATTGTGATTGATTGTGTCTTGCATGCATGTATTAACACATTATAGTCATTTTTCAGTCGATATCATGTTGTTATACAAGTCCATCCATTTAATAGTTTCATACAAATAATAAATATGAGATGCTATTCTTTGTCGCACACGCGCATGCACGTGAATAAATTTTGACCTAGATCACTATGAGACACGCATTTAATCAATCGCTTGGGGGATTGACGTTAACAAAACCCATATCGATATGCATATTAAGCTAAGCAGAAATCAAATCTTTTTTTTTTTTTTTTTTTTTTTTTTTTTTTTTTTTTTTTTAAATTTAATTAATTAAGGCTCACTTTGATATTGTTGTCAGTGGTGGGGCCCGATTGGTTGTTGTGAGACCCAAACCCATAATACAGGAGAGAGTGGTAAAATTGTAGTTCCAGCGGAATTAGGGGCCCAATTGAGGAAACAAAAGCTTTTGACCGAGTGTGCTGCCTCTCTGTCTGTCTCTGGTACTTTGAATTTGCTTGCATTGCAATTCCCGTTTCTCTCACTTTTTATCTCGAACCCATTTTGCGAAAAAGGCAAATAAAGTAACTCAAAACTCATAAACACAGAGCACGTCATTCAAAAAATCGATTTTTTTCGCCCTCAAAGACTCAACCTTTAGATTCATTCAGTCATTTCGTTTCTTCGGAAACCCAAAGAAAGCGAATTTACTATGCAGTCTTCAAAATTCACTCTTCGTCTGCACAGCCTCTGAATCTCAGTCTTTTTCTCTGCCTCTTTCCTCACTGCCACTTTTGTTTGTTTATCTTCCCTTTCCAATAAGATTCTTATTCCTCCATCTTTGAAAACACTTTCACTTGTTTTTTCCTTAAATTTTTATTTCTGGGTCATTTCATTTCTTTCATTTCTTCAACTTAATTGGGTTTACTCAATTGTTAGTTTATTCGAAATATATTTTCCTTTTTTTTTCCCGCGCACCAATCAATTCCTGTTCCTTGTCCTTTTCCTTGGTTACCCTTTTAAGATTTGGTCGAGTTTCTCAATTTCAAGAAACACAGACATCAATCTCTTTGTCTGTAACATTTGCTTTGTAAGTTTTTATAAAAAACTTGAACAGAGACCTGGTGGTTAATGGTTAATTTGTAATGGGTGGTGGTGGTGGTAGAGTGGAAGTGGTAAAGAGCAATGGTTGCTCTAGGCTGTCTGTTGGGTTATCATCTCCATTGCCTTCTTTTAAAGCTCTGCAACCATTTGAGCCCGCGTCTCCGGCCTCATCCTATATTGGGTCAGAGCATGTGGTTCGATCAGGCGCACCCTTTGCCGGCCTTGTTATTTGCGTTACTGGTCTATCCAAAGGTAAAAAGATAAGCCTTCAACTTGTAGCTGCTGGTTCTCTATGTGACGTATTAAATAAGTGTTATTGTTAAAATATGCAGCTGTTCATCTTTGTCATTCTTGTTTTGGCAGAAGCAAGGAAACAGGTCAAGGAAGCAACTGAGAGATTAGGTGGCCAGTACAGCCCTCACTTACATCCTCAATGTACCCATTTGGTGGTCCAAATATCCTTTCTTTTCAAAATTATGTTACTTCTAGCTTCATTTTCTTGGTATATTAAATATATATTGGGGAGAAAAATCTCAATTTTCTTTGGGAGGGTTGACAGCATTGATATACGTGTGATACCGGCACCAAGAAGAAAATATTTAATACATGTGGTGGTATTATTTGTGTAAATTGTAAGGCTCGTGAGTCGTGTGCAATCCTTAACGAGTGTTACAGCTTTGGTGGACGCAAGTTTGAGCATGCTTTGAAGCATGGATTAAAAAATGGTCTGTCGATTGTTACGATTGGCTGGTTTGTGGATAGTGTTAGGAAGAATGGTAAGAGAGGCCAGTGTATATTTTCTGCATTGGTTAGGTGAAAACCCACTCAAATGGTATATGTTACTTGATTAGTCTAAATCCAGTTTCTTTTGTGTGTTGCAGTGAGGTTGAGTGAATCACTTTACAGTATCAAGAGTTTTGGACAGAATGGTATACGGTTGGATGAGTTCAACAGGCTTGTTGGGTTTATCAGTACAGAAAATTCGTGTATTCCTGTTGATGCTCGTGGAGCCAAGCCATTGGACACGATTGAAGAACCACATCTCCCCTTTTCTGGAAGGGAGTCTAACAGAAGTACTGACTCTGTTCTGTCTGGTCACTCCATGTATGTCGACTTAGACATTTCATCTGAACTGAGGAACAAGGTAAAATTATGTCTAGGAAAAAAATTGCTTAGTTACTTTTAAAACAAAATATATTTTTTCTTTCTTCTTGTTTTAGCTGTATAAGAAAGATTTGCTGGGTTTTTTCCAATGTCAAACTAGATAATGGTGAGGTGAAGCCCTCTCAGTTTGTACAGTTTCCCTGAGCTTCTCTCAACATCATTTTTCCTATTTGGCAGGTTATTGAGGCTGCTCGTAGAGAGGGTGTTACGTTAATTGATCAATGGTTTGTTGGTTGCAGAGCCAGTCATGTAGTGTGTGAAGGCTCTGCTAGCCGTAAATATCTTGGCCACTCTATCAATATCGTTACAGTGAGTCCTACAAAGAATCCTTTGGTTTATTTGAATCTGCTCTATTTACACTCTAGTTTTATTGATAAATATACACAATAACTATTTCGGAGTGAAGTGTTTTCACACACTTTACTATTTCGGATGTCCTTCTATAATAACTTTTTGCTGTCTTCATATTGTTCGTAGAATTGATGAAATCACTTGCAAATTTAGAGATGACGGAGTGCTCTGTATATTTCTTTTGTTGCAATGAACTTTATTTGGTGTTTGATTTGTCTCAGCCACTGTGGGTCTTGAAAACAGCCAAAGAGAAGTATGTGCAAAGGCTTGTGCACATGTCTGCAGATTTGGCCAGGCAAGTTGGTATGATGCTTGAAGAGTCGCAGAATGGCAGTGCAGATGAGGTTTCTTTCTACACATTTTTGTGAAAATGATTTGTTTTGCAGTGATTTTTAACTCTTTTCTGCCCCAAACCCATGGTTTCAGGTCTATATAATAATTTTTAACTAATTAAAAACAAAAAAAAAAAAAAAAAAAAAAAAAAACTGTAACAAGGGGTATCTTTTGCTGCTATGGTTTAACTTAAAATAATATACCTACGATAATTGAAAAGGTTTCACAATGATCTCAAATCTTAATAAACTCGTGATTGGTGGCTGGTGAATGCCTTCAAACATTCTTCAAATGATACCATTTTTATATATGTAGTATTATGATTTTGGTGTGTCCAAGTTGATATTTGACAATATTCTTTTATTGATTTACTAGGAAACGAATGTGCGAAATGTCCCCAAAGATGTTCAAGCTTATAAAAATAAAGCAAACCATGAAAAGAGACAACGAATTGTGAATTCTGCTAAAGCTGGGGGTTAGAAATCGACGTGGTCTTCGTATGCAGGTAATGGCTCGATCGGGTTTGGTTCTCTGTGGTGTTTCATCAATCTATGCTTCTTGTTTAGTTTGATATGATAATCGCTTATGCACCATGGTTTTGCTCAAATTTAAACAATTACTTTATATCAGCTTAATTTGGAATGTATCACACGAATGAGAACATTGTAGTACAAGTTAACGATCAGTTTTGTATTTGGCTACGTTTCTATTTGTTCATGTCTGTTAGGGGCCCATGAGGATTTTTCAGTGCTTGCATAATGTTAACAGCTTCAATGAACCGATTACTTTTGTTGCTAATGGTAGTTTTATAAGAGAAAATAGGTGATCTTAGTACACCATTTTAATTATGTGCTCTGTTCTCGCAGACTTGCCAAACCCCAATGCGTCCAATAACCCCTATCAGCCTTCTGGATTCAATCTGCTGGTCCATATCTGAACCAACTTCAACCGCGTCAATCTACACCGAGAATGTCAGTGTTGAAGATGCTACTGAGCACCATACATCTGTATTCTTTGATGCAAAAGCTGATGGCAAGGATTCAGAAGCTTCATTTGCAAACTTAACGAGGCTGCTCAAGGAAAGGTTGTTGATCTCTCACTTCCTTCCCACCCCCAACCCCCTCCCAAAATGTAAAAGAAAATATTTGCCCAAATGTTATATCATCTCACAGTAGTTCTCTTTTATTTGTTTGTCTGCAGTGAGAAATCTGAATTGGTATTTAAAAACCATTTTCTTACCATACTGTTCCCTCTTGACCGATTTGCTGAGATGGGGCCATCTTCCAGAACATTTTTCAGCAATAATGGGTTTACATGCTTGCAGGTGTTAGATCATATCTATGCATTTTATCAGGTACAAAATAAGACATTCCCTACTTTTTGGTACTTTGCTGCAAAATTCTCAGCCATTGGCTTAATGGAGGGTCGTATACTCGCATGTGTATTTATATTGCAGGAGAGCATGTCAGTCCATGAAATAGAGGCTGCTATTAACACAGACTCAAGGCATGCCGATCGGCTCCGATCAGTGTACTCCAGTAAAGAAACAGCAGAACATGGTTACGTGAGTTTCAAACGGATTGAATTTCTAGGTAGTCGTAAAAGTTTCGAGATGTTGAAGCGTGTCAATGGAGACAACAACAGCAATGTATATGAGCTGCTAATTAGAGCATAAGGTCATCTTCACCTCACGTGTTCCAAATTAGGAGCATGTTTTTGCTATGGTTGAACCTTTGAAGAAGCTCAAACTAAGAACTTGGAACTTGAAGGCCATGATATCAAAGCTTCTACCATCTTTATTCAGGAAGAGTTTCAAATTTTCTACTCGTCTTTATTCAGGAAGAGTTTCAAATTTTCCACTTGTTTTTATAGGAGTATAGGGGTGTATACCTATTCAATGTATAAATTTGTGTGCATAACGAGTTTTGGATGAGTGGAAAAATCCCAACATTTTCCTTTTTTTATTTATTAATAATAAATATCAAACGGAACATATATATATGGCTTAATTATGTACATGCCCCCTGTGGTTTTACGTTTTTCTCAGATTACCACCTGTGGTGGAAAACGTCTCAAAGTACCCCCCAACGTATAAATAACCGTCTCAATTTACCCCATCCGTCAAATTTCTTGACGGTCCGTTACGAACAGTGGGCCCCACTTCGTTTTAACCTTTAAGCTGTTCGAATAAGGGTTTCTCAGTTTGTAACAAAGGGGAAATTGGGTTTAGGGTTCATTGGAGAAGAGGGTTGTTGTTAAAATCTGAGGGTTCCTTCGATTTTGGGAGAAATTGGAGAAGAAATCATTCTTTGTAAAACTCTGAGGTGGAGTTTGAAATTGGAAGATTGTGGAGTAGAAGATTTGGGATGATGGAAACAGGAGAGAAGCAAGGAGAAGGAGGGCATGGCCAATGGTGTCATTGTGGGAAGTTAGCACGGATGCAGACTTCTTGGACCAGTTCAAACCCAGGGCGAAGATTTCTAGTCTGCCCAAAGTCAAAGGTAAGCATGTTTAAGATAAAATTTTCAGTCATTATTTTGGGCATCACAAATTGATAGAGTTGTTAGTGATGAAATTGTCAGTGATTGATGAAATTTTCAGTCATTTTACCACCCAAATTTTCAGTCATTGTTCTTGGTTGATACAGGGAAGGGGAGAAAAAGGATGTAGGTTTTTTCAGTGGTTTGATGCAGAAATGTGTGAGCGTTCAAAATCGTTGATACCTGGTTTGCTGAGGAAGATTGATAGGGTGGAGAAGGAAAATGCAAATATTTGAGCAAAGTCAAAAATATTGTGGGCTGCTATGTTGCTTTCGTGGTTGGTGGTGTTTGCCATGAAGATGAATTAGGCACTTTGGCAGTAGTTCATTGGGCATTGTAATTTGATACCTGATGTTAATGTAATGTAAGGCATTTTGGCAGTAGTTAAGCATTTTGGCAGTAGTTAAGCACTTTGGCAGTAGTTTAATGGGCAAATTTAATTTCAGAACAAATGCTAATCTAATGTAAGACACTTTGGCAGTGTAATGTAATGTCATTTGGTGTAATGTAATGTAATGCTAGTTAAGTTTACTGGATATGTAATTTGTTTAGGGGTTACAAATGGTGACATGAATGGTAAGCTGTTTAGAGGTTACAAATGGTGACATGAATGTAATGCTAGTTAGTTAAGTAATGTAATGCTAGTTAGTTAAGTAATGTAATGCTAGTTAGTTAAGTAATGTAATGCTAGTTAAGTTTGATATGTGATATGAATGGTAAATTGAATGGTAATTTCTTGATGAATGTAGAAGAAGATAACCAAAATTCAGTTTTCCCTAAAAAAGCAGGACCTGCCTTCTTTGCCAAAGTTTATGGTGGATATGTAGCTTTTGGTAACATGCCAAAGTTTACTGGAATCTGGAAAGCAAGAGGCAAAGCCCAAAACTAGCAAAAGCACCTGTCATTATAAGCACAAACCAAAACAGAAAAGGTTTCAAAACAGAACACAAACCAAAACAGGTTCCAACCATAACAGTCTTATGAATATATGCACAAACCAAAACAGGTTCCAAAACAGATTCCAACCATAACAACCTCAAGAAATATGCACAAACCAAAATAGGTTCCAAAATTGGTTCCAACCATAACATACATTAAATATTCAGGTTCCAAAACAGGTCCAACCATAACATACATCAAATATTCAAACCATAACATACATCAAATACTTAGGTTCCAAAACAGGTCCAACCATAACAGGTTCCAAACATAACAACCAACAACCATTAAAGTCTTCCACAACATTCAAGGATGAAAAAAAGGATCTTTGACAAAATGGCTCCTCTGTTGATCTTTCATCCTCTTCCGACGTTGTTGTACTCGAGATAATTTGGCAGGTTCAGGTGTTTGAGATGGCTGGGATTGAAAAGCATCAGCTGGTTCAGATGGTTGGGATAGAGAAGCAGCAGCTACTTGAGATGCCTGGGATTGAGAAGGCCCTTGGGAAGTGCTTGACTGTTTCCTTTGCCTTAATTGCATACTCTGTTGTCCGCCACTTTGGTCTCCACCATCTCTCCTTCTTACCTAAAACAAATAATAATTAGAAGTTTCCATGATATAAAATTTTGATGAGTGAAAACATAGTTGAAACTGTGGCACTTACTGCAAGTTTGTCCTTGGCAATGTTCCTCTTCCTAGTAGGCTTTATGTTGGGATTTCTAGGTTCCTAATAACCAAAGTCATCAAGTCAGAAACCAAATCAAATACATTTAAATGTAAAGCAATAATTCTAAAAACCACATACCTTACAACTACTTCGATTATGCCCTTCTCCACCGCAATTGGCACACTTTAAAGGTAACCATACCTAGGAAGCTTATATGGATTAGAAGGAAGTTTAGGTTCTTCAACAGCTTGTTTTCTTGTCTTCTTAGGCCTACCAGGCTGCTTGTGGTATTTCGGAGGGAGTAATGGAGGTAAATTAACCTTCATCCACTGATCTTGGCTAGTCATAGGCATAATCATTGGTTGATAGGCTCTCAAATAAGCCTCTTTCTTGTACACTGCATCACAAAAGTCCTCTGGATTCCCATGAAACCAACTTATTGCAGCACATGCATGCAAACATGGTATTCCATTCAAATCCCAAGCATGGCATGAACAAGAGTGGCCATTCAAATCAACAGCAAAGGTGCGGCCACTATGGTGCATTACTTCAAACTGATTCTGTCCAGCAGCCTTAGGAATGCACCACTGAGCTTTTGCTTTGTTTTTCTCTAATATCTTTCTAATTCTTGGCCCAACTTGTCCATGCCATTTCTCACAGAGAACCCTTCTTCCCGCCATCAACAACATTATATACAACCGAATTCTTTCTAGCATAGTCAGAATAGGCTTGTCTCGGGCATCCAGTATGCTACGGTTGAATGCCTCACATAGATTGTTCATAAGCATGTCACACTTGGAATCACTCTTGAAATATGCCCTACTCCAATGCCTAGGATCTTTCTCCATGAGCCAATCATGTGCAGGTTTAGACAACTGCAACATCTTTGTCATCTCTGCATGAAACCATGGCACTGTTGTGGCTCTAGCAATTGCTTCCATTTGATGTTTCAAGGCAAGACCTCTATGTTCCAAATAGAAGTTCCCATATAGATGTTTCAAACAATGTCTATGCTCTGCCTGAGGGAATAGAGCATTCACAGCATCTATTAACCCTTTTTGTTTGTCAGTCATAAATACATAACCATGACTATTCGTAATATTGAGATCACCACTCAATAATTCTAAAAACCACAGCCATGTTGAATTGCTCTCAATCTCTACATATGCATAGGCAAGTGGAAACATTCCGTTGTTTGCATCAACTCCCATTGCAGAAAGCACTTGCCCAGGGTGAGGCCCTTTGACATGACACCCATCCAAGCAAACCACAGGCCTACAACCATCTAAAAACCCCTTCTTGCAGGCTGCAAGACAGATGTAAATTCTTTGAAACCGTGGCCTATCACCTTCCATTTCAGATTTAATGATAACTGTACTTCCCACATTCCTGGTTCTTAACTCATGACAATATTCCCACAATACTTCATATTGTTTGCTGTAAGACCCCTCTACAATGTCAACTGCCATGGCTCTTGCTCTGTACACAGTTGCTCTAGATGGTCTGTAACCATAGTCTTGGTGAACTTGCTCTACAAAAGAAGAAGCAGTCCAATTTGGATTGAGCCTTAACTGCCCAGAATATCTTTCAGCCAACCAGCCAGCAGTAGCATGTATATTTTTAGTCCCCTTGCTACAAACATGTGTAGGATTAAAGGTTTTCACCTGCAGGTAAGTGCTACCACTAACACTTGAAGCATAGATAACAAAAGGACAACCCTCTTCACATACTGCTCTTATTTTGTTACGGTCATTATGCATAAAAATCAACTCCCTTCCACAATTAATGGAGTATATCCTCACAACTTTTCTAAACAACTCGGCAGTTGCAAACCTTAAACCTATTTTGAAACTTGGGCTTCCCATATCAATTTCATGTCTGAAATCTTCACCTTTTGGCATCCTATTCTTCTTCCTTCTTACTTCACCCACTGCATCATCTTCACTTTGTGAACTATTTGGGCAGGTAAGTGTAGGTGACTCTTCTCCATTGTCTGACTCATCATTTTGCTCTGCATTAGGATCATTGTCAAAAATACTATGATCCACATAACCTTCAAACCACTTATCATCATTCTTCAATAATTCAATCTCTTCATCACTCTGTGCATAGTCACTGTCTTCAAAGTCTGGATCACTGCTATCATCATTCTCAGAACAAGAATATTCTTTATCACTGCTATCATTCCCCACTTGGCTTGAAGTTAAGCTCACTACCTTCAAGTACAAAACTACAACCCTGCTATTGCTTTTAGGTACCATGCTCATACAAGCTAAAAGTGTACTATCAGATATTATTTGAATGAGTCTGCTAGTTCCAAACTCTTCACCATAAAAACTCACATCATACCCATCGTCATATCCCAAATCTTTAGCCATTCCAAATAGCTCTAACATGGACATATAGTCAACCTCACAGTAATCAAACCAACTGACTTCACCACCTAAATAAGACCACTGACTGTCCTTTCTATTTTTCACTAGTTTACCTCCATGGAAAAACTTAAATGTGACAACCTCATCAGCATCTTTATCTGCGTAATAGGAACATTCACTTAACAAATGGAAAAAAACACACAAAGAGAAAAGAAGGACCACACAAAGGATAATACAAGGAACACCCAAGGACCACATAAGGTATATTGGGGCCAGCACAGAATAAAAAAAATATGAAAGAACAAAAAATTTCGAGCAACACACCACACTAGGAACATGCAAGGACCACACAATGATCACACCAGAACCAGCAGAGTCAAAAAGTATACAAAAACAAAAACAAAATCCTAACAACAGTTCAATGCACATGCCAAAATCAAGAAAATCGAGTAACAATGGGTCCACTTACATATGGGTTGACAACCTCCAGATTCTCTAAGCACCACCATCTTCGCACCTTCTAGCCTTAGAGTCTAACGCCAACGAATGATTTCTTCTCCAATTTCTCCCAAAATCGAAGGAACCCTCAGATTTTGACAACAACCCTCTTCTCCAATGAACCCTAAACCCAATTTCCCCTTTGTTACAAACTGAGAAACCCTTATTCGAACAGCTTAAAGGTTAAAACGAAGTGGGGCCCACTATTCGTAACGGACCGTCAAGAAATTTGACGGATGGGGTAAATTGAGACGGTTATTTATACGTTGGGGGGTACTTTGAGACGTTTTCCACCACAGGTGGTAATCTGAGAAAAACGTAAAAGCACAGGGGGCATGTACATAATTAAGCCTATATATATATATATATATATATATATTGATACCTTGTACCATTGAAAACATTGATGGAGACAGCACATAATTTACATTTTTCTTTAAGGTGCTGCCATCAAATAGTTTCACATTGCTGTGAGATTTCCTGACAAGCAACATCCTAACTGCTTCATATTAAGATTGGTGGATTTAAAAGGTACCACCCTCCGATTTCTCGAATTATTCATAAAACTAGCAGGCAAGATAGATACATGATCATCCACCAATGATAAGTTTGCCTTGCCGCTCAAGCTCATAAAGCATGGCAAGTGCTGCAGAATCTTCTGAACTTTTTTTATCAGGTCTAGCATCTCCTGTGCATTCAATGTCGCCGAAGTTGGGTATGTGCAACGTTATCTTTGAGACAAAACTGCTAAAATGCG